TCAATCAAAAAAGCACCTCAATTAGGTGCAGGTAGGGAACGCAGGACGTGGGACGTGGGACGTAGGACGTAGGACGTAGGACGTAGGACGTAGGACGTAGGACGTAGGACGTAGGACGTAGGACGTAGGACGTGGGACGTAGGACGTAGGACGTGGGACATAGGACGTAGGACGTAGGACGTAGGACGTAGGACGTGGGACGTAGGACGTGGGACATAGGACGTAGGACGTAGGACGTAGGACGTAGGACGTAGGACGTAGGACGTAGGACGTAGGACGTCGGACGTAGGACGTGATCACCTTGCTGCTCAACAATAGATGTACTTATGTACACATATTTGAGAACAATGCAATGGACTATTCTCTAGGCGGAAGAGTTCTCTAGGCAGTTCTTGGGCTTCTTCTTCGCCTGCTCTACACTGTTTCTGATATTTATGGAACTTGCAGGACTTTAATATGGCAAACTGCAAAAAGTGAAATATTCGACATCTGTATACACTATACCATAGCCCATTAATCAGGTTTATATATATATATATATATACATAGATCAGGCTTATTACATATACAAATAAGGGTTCTGGCAATGATTTCTTCTGCCTCCACAAAACCAATATACACTCTCCAAGCAATAGATTTTTTGTTGCTGCTTACGTAAGATTGTCGTGTTTGCTGGAGTTTGGCATTCAATTCGATTTGTAGCATATTCACGAATAAAATGAATAAATATGCTCGCATGCCCCAAAAAGTATGCAAGCAAATCGATGCATGCGAGCCATGCCGAAAATGTGCCCGAGGCAAAAGCTTTTTGCTCGCATTGAAGTTGAACAACAACAACAACAACAGAAAACTGCAAAATAAAAATGTTTTTGAGCAAATGTTTTATTATGTTTTGCGCTGCCAACCGAGTGAATGGGGTATATTAGTTGATTGCCATTGAATAATTAAAGAGTTATTGTACTTTCAAAATTGGGCTAAAATTACAAGACAAACATTTATTTATATGATCTTTTGGCTTTGGCCAGTTTAAGTACACCCAGTTGACCCATTTGCGCCGCGTGTACAGGGTATCGCAAGGCACTTTTCCAACTGTTTTGAGGTCGGCAAAGTGCAGTTGAGAGCATTCGACTGAAAAGATTTTGTTTCTCTCGCATTACTGCAGTCAACTGCAATAATGATATGTGCCAGTGTGTTTGCATACCCTGTGCCATTTGAAAGTGGGTCGATTGGTGGCCAAAGAAGGCATCAGCCACATTTGCATGAGCCCAATGACGAGCCGAGACGAGCTGATCCATCTGTTGGTCTGGCTGTCTATCTTCGAGTATTTCCCATATGCAAGCAAGAGGCCATATCAAAGGCTTAAGATCTTGCGATAGGGGCATTTGTTTGGCCTAAGCAAAGCTCTAGTTATTGTCACGCTGTTTACAGGGTAACTGGCAGTCGTGCTATCACCGTTAAGCTAGAATATCAACCAATTTCCAGTTACGCTTCACAGTTTGTGGCACAGTTAACTGTGTCGATTCGAACGAGTATTCAATTTGCGGCAATGACGTCATGCCTGCCACAGAATGTTGCATCCAAGTGCGACCAACCCTGTTTACTTAGCATACATCATACATCCTTGTGATTGACCGCAATTCGTCATCAGATTTTAATGAAACAACTTTTGCCAGCTTCAATTCCACAACATGTCCTGTCACATTGCTGCAGCGAAAAGTTGTGAAAGTAAGCTGGGAAAGGCTTTCACCTGGCTACCTGAGTAGATATGGCCAGGTGCATCTGTCGCAAACTACGCATGCGAGCGTTTAATTTGCAAATATATATATTCGTGTATAGACGGAACGGCATTATAATGCGTCTCTTGACTCTTGCATATACTCTCGTACAAGCACAACGAGTCGATAAATTCCTTTATCGATATATATCGATCAAATGGGATTTTGAGACCTGGTTCTTTAAGCTCAAATGAAACGACTACTAGATATGTAGGTTCACGTTTAGAGATGCAATCTGTTGCTACTCTTCCACTCCCAATCTGGATTTTATGAATCCTTTTATCGATATGTTATCCCAACTCCAAAATATCGATCCAAATCGATGTTGAGTGCTTTACTGAAAAGTGAGTTATGTAGGTGCTCGTTTAGAGATGCAGCCTTGTGCAATCTTTTGCTACTTTTCCCCGCCCAATCGCCCATTTAATTGGTTTACTAACACCTCAAGATGCCATATATGAGCATAGGAAACTTTACAAGGAATGGACATCTCATAGAGTATAGATACTCTAGATCAGCATCAATAGACGAGTTCATACCAAGCTAACTATATAATTTAGCTGATTTATGATCCCTTCAAGATGTATATATTTGTTACTCAACACTGGTAGACCTCTTTCAGGACTTCAGCTATATATATGATGAGAAGTTGAGGCTTGGATCGATCTGTTTCTAAGCAAATCAGTTTAGCATTAACTAAGAGTCAGCCGGATCGAGCTTCTATATGGTATACCTCTCATCGAAGTACTCGATACCTATTCGATACCTCGATTTTCGCCCAGTTGGACTTAATCCGAGCTCATCACATAGTTCCCATTGCATGCGTAATATAGTTAATTATATAAAATATATGGCTAATTAATTGGTTTGCGTATAATCAATGAAAACTTTGATTTCTTTTCTGAAAATTGAATTGCAAATTTTCTTTAATTGCGCACTGATTAAATATTGATAAAAGGACAACAAATATGCTTTGTTGTGGGCCCTGGCTCTTATTGCAATTATTATTGTTTGTTGTTATTGTTGTTGTTGTCGCTGTTGATATTTCATTTCAGCCAGTTCAACGAACTGCAGACACGAATTGTCTGGCAATTTGCTAGTTACGGTTATTACGCCAATAATTTCTTGCTATTCCCAGCAATGTGGACTACGTTTTTTTTTTTTATTTCGTAATACTTGTATACATGTTTTGTTTTTGTTTCTGCAAAGTTATTCGCCAGTGATTGATAGCATGTATTTAAGTTATTGTTGTTGTGCTAATACCCTGTAACTAGAGCGGCCGGAATGGGTACTCCCGTTCAGTCTCTCTGAAATCTAAGTTGCCTTTGGATCTAAGTACGAGAAATACATACAGTGCTTTCTAAAGTTCCAATTGGAAAGCGGTTCGTGTCTTCTGCGTTCCTGCCCCGAGCTGAGAGAAGCATGGGCAGCTCTCCATCTGGAACATAGCTCCTTCTATTGCCGCTGCTGCTCGTCATCAAATCAGCAACAGTATTTCTATATCAAATATCATAGCATACTTATGAGCGCTAAAAAACATGAGAGGAAATTGCATTGCAGGTGTAGCCTGGAACAAGGAGAAGTGCAAATTTCATTAAGATCGGACTTTAAGCACCGAAGTTATTGAAGAATGCAGAACAAGAGTGTGTGTGATGTGATCCCTCGCTGCTGATTACAGGGTATTTTCTTGTTTATTTAAGCTACAGGGTGTGCACAACTTAGGCTTGTGTTTTTTTGTATTTGTTGTTGCCTGCGGCAATTATGAAAAGCCAAGAAAAGGAAGCGTGCCAATAGCCGTCTAATGTGTTTCCTTCTCCCTCCCTCTCTCTCTCTCTCTCTCTTACGGAACGCCTGCAGAAGAAGGAAGACGGCAAATTGTGTCTATGTGCATGTGTGATTCCTAGTTGTGCATGCTGAACCGGGATGGATGCGCGCCGACAGAAGCGACTTGGCCCAGCGCCAATTGCATCGTTCGAAAAGTCATTTGAGGACAATACCACGATGGCAACAACAGCAACAACAACAGCAACAACAGCAACAACAGCAACAACAACAACAACAGCAACAACAACAGCAACACAGCAGCAACAGCGAATTGCGGTAAGTTTCACATACACGCACATATGCACTTATACACACACACACACACATATATATAATTTGTGACAGGAGACAAAAATTAATTAACCCAAACATAAAATCACCTAAAGCAACGAACTCTGTAAGCTTGCAAAGAGCTTTGCTCTAGTGGTTGGGTAAAGTGGGCGAAGAGGGGGAGGCGTGCGGCGAGTTTTATAGGCACAGCAAGCCGGGTGAATGCTCTCGGCTCTGGGTGAATGCCAAAAACATGCAAATGGCCACTTAAAAGGCAGGCGAACAAAACGCCTTTGGCCAATCAACAAAACGAAGCTTAAGCGTTGCCCACAAATATCATAACAAAAAGAAAACAACAACAACAACAACAGCAGCAGCAGCAGCAGCAGCGGCATTAAAAGCCAGCAACCAGTAAAAAGAACTTGAACAGGCACAATTGCGAAAATATTTTGACACGCGCCAAATCAAATGTGAAGTGCTCTAAATAATGTCATTTAACAATGGCCAAAGATTGAGAGCAGGAATTGGAAAGAGCTTGTAAAGCATGCATGCGCAACTGTGTGTGTGTGTGTGTGGAGCGGGGCAGCGGGGGTGGTCAGAGCAAATACAGCCAAAAAAAAAAAAAAATAAAATAAAAAAATTCAGCATGCAAAATCATCAGGAGTCTCCTGTGGAACAGCGCAGAGAAGAGAGTAAGAGAGCATGAGGGCAAGCCGAGCTTGCACAGTGCGCAGCACACATTTAGAAACACACAAACGTATTAAATATATATGCACGAGTATGTGTGCTTTGATATCGCCACATGCCAATTGATTATCAAAATGAAAGTTAAAACTTTCTACTAACTAAACTCTAACAGATTCAATTCATAAGTACACGCAAAAGCTACACTATTTGTATGCGCAGCGCTGTGACCAAAGCTTAGCCAGCTGAGCGTGCGGCGGCACTTAGTGAAGCTTTTGCTAAAACGCCTGCTGCGAAGCTTTTAGTAGCAGCAGCAGCAGCAGCAGCAACTGGCAGCTTTTTGAAATTGCTTACCCTCTGCTAGCAGCGCTGCCAGGCAATAGCCACAAACAGCATAGCATGCTTTTCGGCTGCGGCTCAGTATGACGCTGGCGCTGCGTGCGTGCAGTCTAACAGCATAAACGGAACGAACGAAACATATAGCGACAGAGTGAGAAGAGACTGAGCAAGGAGCGCGAGTGTGGAGTGTGGTGAAGCGCTGAGCGCGCGCGCTACGTACGACCAGACCAAAACGAACCAAAAAGCAAGCAACGAGCAAAAGTGAACCAACAAATTTGACTTTCCGTTTGTTTCCCTTGCGCCTCGCTGCGTCGCTGACAATTCTCATATTTTTTTGTCGGTTGCTTTTTTTTTTTTTTCGGTGGCAAGTTAAGGCAAGAGAAATTAATGAAAAATTAATAAGGACAAGTGGGGAAGCCAGGCAGCAACAATAAAACAAAAAATACAAAAAAGCAACACACACTAAGGCACAGGGCCACAGAGCAATAACGGCAAGTTTTGGCACACGGTGAGTAGCAAGACGCGCACATAACGGCAAGATGCCATGTGTATGCGCGTCTGTATGCATGTGTATGTGTGTGTACGCGAGCAAACATTAACAATAAACACAGAAACAGGAGCACGCAGATAGGCAGCGGCAGCGGCAGCGGCAGCGGCAGCGCCTCTTCGCATGCTGCGTTCTATACAATACATATACACAAACGTACATTTGTGTTTGTGTGCTATGTGTGCTGCTGCTTCTTATTAAAAATTATAATTGTAATTAATATGTTGAGGCATTTGTGAACGCGCAACTTCCAGCAGTTAACAGTATGCAATACCACAAAATATTACGGTTGCTCTTTTTTGACTGGCCCCATTTGCGTTTTATTCCTTTTGCTTTAATTTTTTTTTTTTTTCTTATCTGCTTTTTCAAATTGTTGGTGTCCCTTTCGGTACACCACAAAATATAACCGAAATAACGGCGAACCATAACAATTGGAAGAATACCGTTACCAAGCCGGCTCTCTTGTTTATTCGAATTAATTACAATTTTTATGTATGCGCCACGGCATGCGGCGGCTTTCAATGAGCGCACAAGGCGTGTGGGGAGAGTGACTGAGACTGAGACTGAGTCTGAAACAGAGACTGAGACGGAGACACGAGAGCGAGCGGGTGAGTGACTCGCATTGAATGAGTGAGACTGGGTGAGTGAGAGCGCAATAGTGAGCGCTAGCTAGCACGTGAAAAGCATTGCATAGTTTCTTTTATTTTTTTTTATATATTTTTTCCAGCATCAGTTTTAAATTAAATTTGTTGATGTGTGCGTGTGCACGTGTGTGTGTGCGTGTGTGTGTGTTTGGCATGTCCAAGGTTTATGCTGCGCCTCCGCAACACACACGCCCACACACAGACAATAAACGCATGCTTTTCGCCCTTAGCACCCGCCCCAGCCCTCCATCCACCCCCACCGCTAGGCTCTGGCAGCGTCAGTCGCAAGCTTTCAAGCGCAATGTGTCAATCAGCGCATTCGAGTGACAAACGCGAACGCTGCATGTGTCCATGTGTGTGTGTGTGTGTGGGTGGGTGTAAGGACTTCTCCTTGAACGCATCTAATGCGGCTGCATATGCATTTATGAGAGTGTACTGTTGAATGGCATGGGCGGGGTAGGGGGTGTGCACTCAACATGCCTGTTTGCTGCTCCACTAAACTATTGCGTGAATGTGCGGCTAGGTTTTGAGGCGGGCGTCAGGAGGAGGAGGAGGTTTTCCAGCTGCGCTTGTTCTAAGTTAAAATTGGATAATTGCATTGACATTGCGTTTAGGGCTGGGCCACAATGGATGCGTGTCTGTCTGTGTCTGTGTGTGTGTGTGTTGGGCTGAGCTTAACTGAAGATGAGGTTAACTTAGTGCGTAGCCCCGCACGGCACTCTGGGGGCAGCGCCAAGGTTGAGCTGTGGCAATTGAAATGCTTGAATGCGCATATTTCATGTTATTAGAATATTCATATGCAGAGCTCGCGTCCTCCATGCTCACTTTGTGCTTTAATTAAAGAACAGTGTTCAAAAGCGCACCAGAATTGAGGTTAGCTTCAAGTATAATTGCACTTCTTAGTGTTGGGCACTTCAGCAGAAGTTAATTATGTCCTTCTGACGAACGACTTATGAATGCACAAAATAATCCAAAAACTAGAAATCTATTTTCCTTGTTGTCTCTCCTCACCTCCCCCTCTTTCATTCTTTCATGACTTTATGCATTTTACGCTCAGATAGTTGTTTTATATTATGGAAACATGCGGGCTTTAATTCAGAATTGGAAGCCAAGCCTCGCTTTAACAGCAGATGTTTTCTTTCTCTTAATTATAAAGTTGAATTAAATTATCAAAAAGATTTAAGTAACTTTTTGGCGTATTTCTCTTTGTGAAGAGCGTATAGAAAGTAAAGCATATTGAATATAACAAAATGAGGGCTCGATTCGCAAGTCTTAAATAAAATGTAGAAAAAGTTATTTCTGAAAGAAACCAAAACAAAGCCAAAGCAGCCAAAAATCTGGTACAGGTCATAAAAACTCTGCTTGATTAAAAAACAGGGTATTTGCTGAGTGTAAACTTGTTACTTGTTTTTTTTTTTTTTTTTTTTTGTCAAATTCAGTTTGGAAGCCCCGCAGCATTCTAAGAAAATTCAATTATAAAACGTGCTGACATTTTTGGGCGCCAGGTGAATTCATTGGAAAAAGGTCCTGTTAGTTCGCGAATAGTGTGGGAAAGCGGACAAAGATAAAATGGACAACGAGTATCAAAGGATGATATTAATTAAAAATCACATGCTATGAAAACCATAAAGGAATTAAAGCTAATTGTGATTGGATTTTGTGAATGTCGGTCGGCGGTAGGTGGGCGCGAGGGAGAGAGGAGCATGTGACTGCTTTCATTTGCAGCAGAGGCACGAGGCAGGCAACCAGTGTTGCCAAGCGACGCATACGACTGCATGGTTTTGGTTTCAATTTGCGAACCGTATATCAGATTCATGTGTGTGCGTAATTGAAATGCATTTCTTTGAGCCAAGCTTTCTATCCATTGCAGATGATGGAACAAACGTTGCGCAAACAACAAACAACGACAACTCGCAATCCCAATCCCAATCCGAATCCCAGTACCAATGCCAACGCAACCGAAGCGCCAAGCATATCGGGTGCATTGGCCAGCAGCAGCTCCTCGTCCTCATCCTCCACGTCCACCGTCTCGTCGGCCACCTGCTCCGCCAATGCCAGCATCGTTGCCAAGCAACGTCCGCCGCCGCTCAAAACGGCAACGACCACCGTCACCACGACCCTGGTTAGCAGCAACGAGGGCGGACAGCCGCTGCCAATCGGTGCAGCTGGCGGTGCAGCGGTTGGTGCTGCTGGCGGTGCTGCCAGCTATCGCGGCACTGCTACATTGACCACGCCCTCAACGCCACGCATCGAACTGAGCCGCGCCTCCAGTTCGTCCCATCACGAGGAGGACAGTCGCGAGAGCAGTCCGGAGAACGTGTTCGAGCAGGTAAGCGTTTTGGCCAATTGTCACAGTTGCCCCGCCGGCGGCAACTAGTCCGCTTAGTGGCTAGTAGCTTGGCTTCTAGAGCAGCGTCTACACCCAGCAGCAACAACAACATCAACAACAACAACAACAACAACAACAGCAACAACAACACACAATTGACTTTGGCTAGCCGAAGCCTGAATACCCTTGCAGCTAAACGGGCATCGTCTCTGTCTCTCTCTCTCTCTCTCTCTCTCTAAGCCATAGTTGTCCGATTTGACACGGCTGCATTTCGTGCACCTGGCCAAGCTTCGAGTCCAAGCGATCTTATGACCCTATATCCGTAATACCCTCTGCAAGGGTATCAAACGTAGAGCAGCAACAGCTCAAACATGTCGGCTTTGCAGTCGCAGTCGCGGTCGCAGTCGCGGTCGCAGTCGCGGTCGCAGTTGCAGTCGACGTCGCTTTTAAAGACACATTTTATGCTAATTATTTGTACTTTGTTCTTGTTGTTTTCATTTCTATTTTACTCTCTTACTGTGTCTCTCTCTCTCTCTCTCTCTCTCTCTCTCTCTCTTTCTCTCTGTCGCTCCTTCTCGCTCCGTTTCTGCCCACACTAAACTGTGCACACACACTTACACACACACGCACACACCCAACTACCAATGCACAAATATTGGCTGTCGATTTCTTAATTTGCCTTTTCATTTTTTTTGTATTTATCTTTGCCCAAACCTCCCACCCCCCCACTCCCCCTTACCATTGCTTCTTGCCACCGCATGCTTTCTTCCATAAACTTAACTTGCAAAAATATGAAATTGTGTATGTGTGCGTGTGTGTGTGTGTGTGTGTGTGTGTGTGTGCTGGGTGGTAACTGTGTTTAACTAATGCTATGAAGGTCGGCACTGGCACCCTACAGGAAACCATTGGCCTCGGTTTTCGGGAGGAGGGGGCCTTAGAGTTGCGCAGCTCCACCGAAGAGCTCTTCTTTATGGATCCAGAGCAGAAGAAAGAGGAGCAGGAACGCCTGCAGCAACAGCAGCAGCAGCAGCAGCAACAACAACAACAACAGCAGCAGCAACAGGTAAGTGTCTTCAAGTTAGCGTCCAGATTTGGCATCGGGAGGAAAGCTAATTATGGTCATGTAAGATCGTAATTTATATTGCTTTGGTATGTCGTTTCTAGTTGATCGTATCAAGTTGTCAGCTTTATCGCAAACGATCTAAAATATCATCGCAGGATTTCGGCTTTGTTCTTCTCGCAGACGAATTGTGCATTTTCCTAATCGCATCTCTTTTATCGATTTATTGTCTTTAGTCTTGATGACAATCCTTTCAAGAATATCCCGATTTACTGTATAATGAAAGACGCTTGATCTGCATATACTTTTCTGTCTTTGGGCATTAAAACAAGATGTTGATATCGATTCTTATCGATTGCCTGGACGAGGCGAGTTATCGATTATCGATAACAAGCTCGTAGGAGAAACTACGCTCAAGTTTCAAATCTCTAGGTCTTAAAGGTTCTCAGATCGATGGGCTTATTTTCAATTTTCAGGGTATAAAAATAGAGGAACCCGCTACCTTAAGGTTTTGTGCGTCCCTGAACCGAGACTTAGGTTAACACCTTGAATTGTTTTTATTATTTAAAAACGCCCGTTCTGCTGAAAATATTGCATCTCGTGCATATTTTCATATAGAAATTGCGGGCTACATTTCAACTTTAGCCAAAATTGGCATCTACCGAAGCTATTTAAGCTGAGTCTTTCGCAAAAGTTGCTAACCTTAAGCCCAAAATATAAGGTTCATTTCTGATTTCGGTTGCGGTTCGAGCCTGCTCAACTACAGTTGTCATGAAAGGTGTATGAAGGAGCAGGGTATCTCGCAGTCGAGCACAAACTATTCCTGTTTAAATATTATCTAGTGCTCGCACTAGCGACTTCCTTCTCCAACAACAAGTTGCAGCAGGACAGTTTCAGGTTTGCCAGATTTTAAAAGAGAACCAGAAACGCGAACGAGAAAAAATGACAGAAAAGAAATTGAAATACTTAGCATGGCATTGATGTGTCCAAAGAATGCCAGCAACAGCAGCAACGGCAGCGCCGGAAACGAACTTAAATTAATAATTTAAAATTACAAGCCAGGGAAAGTGCAACAGCTAACGGAAGTCACAAAAGTGGGTGGCCATGGGCGGACAATTGACTGACAGCTGACAACTCCTGGCTAGAGTAGCTGGCAAGCACCTGACCGAACTGACTGTAACGACTGCAATCTGAACAGGCAGCAGCGAGCGAAGGGCAAACTTTCAAAATATCAGTAGCCAAGTGCAGCCACGACAACAACAGCGGCAATAACAGCGGCACGCACGACGCGCAAATGCCCTATAACCAGATCTTAAATGTATTAAATTAATTTCTTGAATGAGTCTATTTGAGTATACCTATCACACAGATGAGTACTCAATAGTACTTACATCCGAAATGCTAGGAGCGTCCTTGAGTATTCGTCTGTTGAACAAATATTTAGTACTCAGTGTTACATTTATGAGTATCCTTGAGTATACCTTTCACACAACTCAGTACTCAGTTGTACTTACATCCAAAATTATAGGAGTATCTTTTAGTAAGCGTCTGTTGAATGTAGTATGTTGTACTCAGTGTTACTCTTATGAGTATTTTGAGTATAGCTATCAAACAAATGAGTACTCAGTACAAATGTCTAGTACTCAATGATACATTTATGAGTATCCTTGAGTATACCTATTAGGCCAATTAGTACTCAGTAGTACTTACATCCAAAATGTTCGAAGTATCTTTGAGTATGCGTCTGTTAAACAAATATCTAGTACTCAGTGTTACATTAACGAGTATTTTGACTGTACTTAAGTATGGGTATATTTTTCACATGAGTAATAAACTGGCAATGCCCAAGCTAATATGAGTAGCTTACGGTAAGCGAATCTCAAGCAAATGGTTAGGACTGATATATAAGTTCCAAATCAATGTGAGTAGCTGTGAGTAAGTTAGTGAGTAGTATTTTGTACGATACATAAAAAGTGTACGGTATAAAAAAAAAAAAACGAATTAAAATAGGAAATAAAAAAAAGTGTTGTAATTGGCGAAATGTGCAAATGTTGCCTAGCGATAACTTTTTAAACAACTCCAATTAACAGTCGTAGCTGCTGCATTTAATATAAAAAAAAAAATTGTACACAGCCTTCAAATAGAGAATGTGAGTTAGAACTCTGCAGGCAGACAAAACATTATTGTACCGAGCGGAAAACGGAGAGCGGTCAAATGAAGGCAAGTCCATTAATTGAAATTGCAGTAAAGGGGCAGCCCTGGCACCATCCGCTGCTGCTGCTGCCGTGCTTCTTGTTGGGGCAAAAGTTCGTGTGAAAATAATCAAAACAAAATGTTGCGCCAACTGCCACAGCCGTTCCGAGAAAAACTTATTAATAAAGCTGCCACCAGAAGTTATCTATACCCATCCACATCTACCCATCTGCCGACCTCTTACACCAGAAGCTTTGCTATGCATCGCCAAGTTTTCAATTTGTCAGGATCCACTATTCAAAAGTACTTTAGAAGTTTAATATAGCGAATCAACTAAACTTCGCTTTATAAAAAAACTTGGCACGAAATAGGGACAATTGAAAAGCTAGTTGAGATGATTATATTAATGATTTTTCCAGTTGGGAAAAGAAAGAAAGTCAATAAGTTGCCGTGCATTAAAAAGTTTCGCAAAGTATAAATTCCTTTAAATTAAATAACGTTAAATGATTGGTTATAAGGAAGATTCAATCTGTGCCAAAATACAATATGAAAGAGATGAGGACACTCTACCGAAGGCGAAGTTCTTCTTAATGACAATGACAATGACAATGACAATGACAATGACAATGACATGACAATGACAATGACAATGACAATGACAATGACAATGACAATGACAATGACAATGACAATGACAATGACAATGACAATGACAATGACAATGACAATGACAATGACAATGAAATGACAATGACAATGACAATGACAATGACAATGACAATGACAATGACAATGACAATGACAATGACAATGACAATGACAATGACAATGACAATGCAATGACAATGACAATGACAATGACAATGACAATGACAATGACAATGACAATGACAATGACAATGACAATGACAATGACAATGACAATGACAATGACAATGACATGACAATGACAATGACAATGACAATGACAATGACAATGACAATGACAATGACAATGACAATGACAATGACAATGACAATGACAATGACAATGACAATGACAATGACAATGACAATGACAATGACAATGACAATGACAATGACAATGATAATGACAATGACAATGATGATAGTGACAGTGATAGTCAGAGCAATAATATTGATGATATTGATTATACCAATAGAAATAGTTAACAGCATCTAATCCTGCGGCACAGAGACCACAAAGCAGAAAACTTTTGACCTGACCGCTCTTTGCCAGGTTAATTAAATTCTTGTCGGCAACAGATACGCTAACTACGGGCTCGTAGCGACTTGATGGATTAGCAAGTGGCTGGAAATTAATTTTTTTCAAAGCACGCCAGCCACAGCAAAGCGCAAAACGGACAGCCTTGACCAGCTCGACGTTGTTCACAACTTTTGCAAAATAGTCTATGGTTGGGAGGCCACGCGAAACTCGAATTTATTGGCCATGCCAAAGCCATTATGGCTTGTTTAAAGCTAACATTTGCGCATTGCAATGCATATTCAATGCATTGATTGCAATAACCAATGACATCTGATTCGCTAAAAACATTATAAATTCGTTCGTTAGTGGCTCGTTAGTTTCAATGTCAATCAGTTGCGAACTTTGATGAGTGGCTAAAAACATTGTGGGCTGTGTAGCCCCGCCCACGCATAAACCAATTCTGCAACTTTTTCTGCTCTAATTAAATATTAACATTCGAATCGTATAACTGCAGCTGACATTTCACCCAACTGTGAACCGCCAATTTTTGACGCAGTTACTAATTCATTTATACAACATTGGGTCACATTGTTTTTGTTTCTGTATCTACTTTTTTTACCACATTTCGAACAGCTCTTTCGAGTGCTTTGCATGTTTTGAATTCCCATCGAGTTCACTATTCTAACAATTATATCAGCCTGCTTGCATGTTTTTTTTTATGGCCCTCTTCTCTCTCTCTCTCAGCTCTCTATTTCTCTCTCTCTCTCTCTCTCTCCCCTTTCTCTCTGTATCTCTCTCTGTCACACTTTCGCTTTGACTGTCGCAGTGCAATTGACATGCGATTGAATGAAAATCTGAGATTGTGTTTTGGGTGCTCCGTTTTTTTTCTTGTTATACCCTGCAATCGATGCAGTCATGTCCGTCCGACTATAGAAGCACGAAAGTCAAGTTATCGATAACGCGAGATAAAAATACCCAACGCTTAGACAAAATGTTGCGAAAGTTATTTAGGAGTAAAACTGTTGGAAATGTTGAGAGAGAAAGCTGCGTATACATAAAATATATATAGGGTATCTTTTAGTTGCTCAGTTTCGACTAGAGCGAAACTCTTGTGTGTAGGGTATCTTTAAGTCGAGCAGTTTCGACTAGAGTGCACCTTCAGAGCTTTCAGCTGGCCAATGTGTTCCTTTGTGTATATATCAAATATATATAGGGTATCTTTTAGTTGGTCAGTTTCGACTAAAGCGCAACTCTTCAGGCTTTTCCATATTGCCTTTATTATATATATAATGTTTATAATGTGTGCAGGGTATCTTTAAGTCGAGCAGTTTCGACTAGAGCGCATCTCTTTAGGGCTTTCAGATGGCCAATGTGTGCGTTTGTGTATATATCTAATATATATAGGGTATCGTTTAGTCGGGCTGCTTCGACTAGAGCGCATCTCTTCAGACCTTTGTGTGCGTTGTCCTCCTGAACGTCGCCTCAAGCGACAATAAACCCGGTCGAGCTGTCGTCTGGCTTGTTAAACATTGACTGATGACTCTTCCTTCTTCCTTCTTCTGTTTCGCCTTTTGGATTCTGCTTGTTGGCCGACAGGCGAAGCGCACGTCGCCGCACATCTTCAAGTTCGACGAGCACCAGAGCTATCTGCAACAGCATCAGCGCAAGGACTCGGCCAGCTCCGAGGTGGCCGCCCTGCTGTGCATCTCCGGCCGCACCAGTCGCATCTCGAGCGTGGGCAGCCAGGGCTCGGCCGTCAGCCGCCTGTCGGCGGTCTCCTGCGTCTCGCGGTCACCGTCGCCGCATCGCATGCTGCTGGAGACATCCTTTTGCGGACCAAAGCCCGTTGAGGGCACGGCAGACGGCGCCGTTAGCACCGGTGGCAGCAATGCCTCAACAGCGCCCAGCTCCGCCCAGAGCCTGGGCGAGGCGACGCTGGCTGTCGAACAGCTGCTGCTGGCACGCACCAGGCATGATCCCACCCAGGCGGTGCTGGCCGAGGGCATACAGCTGCAGCCGCCCAGCACAGCGGCACGCCGCAACAAGCCCACCAGCCTGGCCAATGGCAATGACAGCATGCCCAGCACCAGCACCAGCACCAACTCAGCCAGGCCCAGCGCCGGCGTCGGAGTCGGCGGTGTCATGGGCGCCCAACGGCGCAGCACCAAGAGTCCCGGCCAGATGGTCGTGGGCAAGACGGCAAGCGGCACCGAATACATACGCATCAATTTGCGTCCGGATCACATGTACAGCGACAAGGGCATTGCGGCTAACGAGCGCGTCGTGGAGGCGCCCAATCAGCTGGCGCCCGTCTATTCGAAGAGCTCGCAGTCGCAGTCGAAGCCCGCCTCGCTAAGCCTACAGGGCAGCGGGCTGGACGAGCATCGTCTAACGCCAACGGCCAGTCCGAAGCCGTCGCGGCATGTAATGCGCCTGACCAGTCGCTCACCCTCGCCGGCGGCGCCCGGCTTGGCCTCAGTCTCCCGGAAGAGTTCGTTTAGCTCGCTATTCCGGCTCGGCAAGGACTCGCCGGATTCGCCGCGTGAGGCCAGCCGTTCGCGCAGCAAGAGCAAAGAACGTCCATCGACAGCGATGGCCCTGACCCACGGCCCCAGCGCCGGCGCCGGCGCCGGACCCGGCACCGGCTCGCAGAATGTGACGCCCAGCAAACAGAAATCGGTGCTGGCCATTTTTAAGCCGGGCAAACGGGGCAGTAGCGCCGGCACCGATGCCACCAAAAGCTCCAAGAGCTCCTCGCCCATCGATTGTGCTGAACCGCCGCCACCGCCGCCGCCAGCGCCCGGCTCCGGCTCCGGCGGACGCAATCGCACGCCAGCCGGATCACGGCCCAACAGCCGGCTAAGGTACTATGATGAGCCCGTCGAGGGCTACATACACATACCGCTGCATACGCCGCCCGAGGAGCGGGAGGCACGCACTCTACTCCAGGGCATACAGCAGCTGGTGGCGCCATCGCCGCCGCCCATGGAACGGCCGAGAATCCTTGGTGCCGTCACATCAGCCACCATGCCGGCACCAGCTGGTGCCGGTGCGCCCATCACGGCCAGCCAGCTGGCCGCAGCGGCTGCTGCACTGCGTCCGGTGGGCCAGCGTAAGCCGGAGGTCGCACGGCCACGCGCCGATCTGGACGCGATACAAACGCTGCCATCGCAGGAGGAACTGGAAGCCAGAGAGACGCTGCACTCGGTCAGCGCCGTGTTGAGCGCACGAGCGGCCAATCTGGGCCAGGTTGCGGAGCACAGAGCCGGAAATGGTGTGCGCGAAAATGGACTGGCTGAAATGCAGCGGCTGCCCTCGGTGGACAGCACGCAGAGCGCCTGCGAGCCGCGTCTGGTGCAGACGGTGGCCACCGTCAATGCGCCCACGGAGGATGCCGCCGCCGCCAAGGAGCGGCGGCGTCTGCTGTTCGCAACGAGGCTCGGCTCCGGCAGCCAGGAGCAGCTCTTCTCCACACAGTTCAGCATCTCGAAGACGGAGAGCCAGTCCAGCCAGCTGTCCGAGCAGGTGCAGCCGCCCGACTCCGGCTCGACGGCCTCCGATTGCACCACGGACGGACTGCAGCGCCAGGGCACCGTCATCCGGCGCACGGATGCCACAGCCCAGCCGACGGCGCCCTCCAGCTCCGAGGAGGAGCAGCCGCCCGCTGCCATTGTTGTCAGCGCCGCCGTTGTCATGCGCTCCAAGCACAAGTCCTGCTCCAACTCCGAGGAGGAAGCAGCTCCAGCAACAACAACAACAACTCCGACTCCGACTCCGACTCCGATTGCACCAGCTGCTGCCCCGGCCGCCGATGTGCGACATTCACGCTACCTCGAAAGCTTCGATGTGCGCAAAAAGTATCACGAGAACGTGACTGAGAACGTGACTGGGAACGTGACCGGAAGTGTGACGGGAACTGTGCCGCGCAAACCCAAGCGACAGAGCGTGCCGGAAGCGAAGCGTAAGTACATGTACTCAACCTCTCATTCATGCATGCAAAACAATTCCGCCCGTCTGGGTGAAAACAGGGCGGAATTATGTGAAACACGAAGTTCACGAAGTGAAAACGAGCTAATGCGAGACACCTAAGGAATATAGCTTGAGGGCGTGGCAAGTCGGGCGAGTTCTTTATATAATCCAACAACTTTGAGCACATTTTCTATGCAAGACTCGTCGCCAAAGATCGCTAAGAAATCTGAAAATTCGATGACTCTTTGAGAGAGTCTCATGAGAAAGTTAGGCTGGAAAATATGGAAAACATAAACAAATAGCGAGTATATTCCAAGCTTTATTGCTGAAAGCCAATACGCTCGTTTTCAGCTTCTGAACAGAGTATAATTATGCGCATTTTTACAAATAAGGAGGCATTTATTGAAATTCAATTTCCCACAAATTCATGAATATTTATTTTTAATTAATTCGCTTCAATAATTATAATTTGTGGGTAAAACGAATGCATTAAATGATTTTTAAAATAAGGCAAGCAGCTACTCAGACTTGGTAGAGTCAGCCCACGTTTCACAATTATGCGTGAAACATGCGTGAATTAAAAGTTGTTCAGTGAAATATGCTCGAATTAAGAGACGATTGGATTAAGACCCCAAACTATCGGGCTTCACTCGGCTGAACGAGCTTGATTTATTTGTTTGAAGACTTCAATTTTCGATCCACCTCTCGACCGTGAAAGTGAATTTGCTAAAAATTAAACCTACTACTAAGTCGTGCAAAAATTTAGGTTAGGAAATTAATTTATATTAGTTTATTTGTATTCTATAAAATATTAAGTAAATTTCGCGTCGATTCCAATAATTACGTCAGTTTCCTGCAACGATTTTTCACGCATTTTTCACGCCTATGCGTGGAATTTCTTCAAAGCCAGCTGTGCATCGATTCCAAATGAAGAATATTTATTGATCAAGCTGTGGAAATTAAAAAAGAAATAACATACAAATCAAAGAACTGTTTGTAAATTCGGAATACACTTGGAAAGTGAATTCAGCAGGCTTTGAATTTGAAGAACTTTCGTTAAAGTCAAATCATAATCATTTTTGAGGCATTCTCGCAGTGAACGAACGCTGTGCATTGTATTTTCCTTTGGAACTCAGAGATCAAATTTATTTTATAATTTTTTTTCCGTCAGTCGAAACAGCGCAGAATTATACGATTGAACAGATTGTAGCGAGCCATGTCTTATATCCGGGTGCTGTCTAACTCCGAGTCTCCGTATTCCAATTTTCTAGCAAGCGCCGCCGCATTGCCAGAGCCAGAGCCGGAACCAGAGCCGGAGCTGAAGACGGAACCGAAGCCGGAGCTAAAGCCTGAGCTGGAGATGAAGCCCGAGCCGCGGGAGCTGTACGAGCTGGAGGCCTTGTCGCCACCGCCGCCCGGCGAACACTCGGAGCGGCATTCGACGGACGAGCACGAGCCGATCGAGTCGTCGGAGAGCGAACGCGACTCGGATATGGCGGGCAGCTCGTCGATGGCGACGGCGGTGCCGATGGGCGCGGATGCCAAGCGTCATCATTTTCCGCGCAACGTGTGCGTGATCGAGGAGCACGAGAGCACCGGCCTGGTCTCGCAGGAGTCCTTCGACGACGAGCTGCCGTATGTGCCAACCACGCTGCCCGAGGAGCGGGCCCAGGGCGTGCCGCTAATCCCGATGAAGGAGCGCGCCAACATGGAGCTCAAAACCTGTCCCGTTGATCGACCGCGCTCGACCACACCGCTGAATCCCTCCCATTTGGAGGAGTACTGCACGGGCATTATGACGCCACAGGAGCCGCCGCATGCTGGCCACGAGCTGGATCCGGGCTATGCCGGGCCCGTGCGCGGCGAGAAGCTGCGTATTAGCCTGCCGCGCAAGGACACGGCCGTCAAGGACAAGGCACAAAGCACAAAGTCACCGCGCCGCATCTCAAATGCCAGCGGCAAGTCCTGGTTCGAGTTCGCCGAGGAGGGTCTGCGCGCCAATCACAATCTGGAGCGCAAGGATTCCAACAAACAGCTGCTCCCGGCCACACCACCTGCCCAGGGCCAGGGCCAGTGCCAGAGCCAGAGCCAAGCGCCTAGCATGCCCGCCAGTCTGGAGGAGCCCAAGCCAAAGGCATCGACACAGCGCAAGCTCTCCGGCCACTGGATTGACTTTGAGAACATACCCGAGAAACGTAAGACGGCCAAGCGCATCACCACGCTGCCCAAGGAGACAATAACCACCACAACCACAACGGCCATAACGAGCGCATCCTCGGCCTCCGGCTGTGCCAGCGCACATCGCAGCTCGTCCGGCCATCCGCATGCCCATCATGGCCACGGCCATGGCCATCACCATCATCATCATCAGCAGCAGCAGCAGCAGCCGCCGCGCCAGGATGCGGCATCTGGGGACAAGCTGCACTACAATTATGTCAAGCCAGAGGACTGCCAGTGCGAGTGCCACGAGGCGGAGCGTGGCGAATCCTCAGCAGCCACAGCCACAACAACCACCAACACGGCCGACAAGGACAAGGATGTTAGCACCGGGACGGGTACGGGCACGGGCACGGGCAGCGATTCGCTGGCTTCCGTTGAGCTGCTGCAGCAGGGCGAGGATATGTTGCCGCTGCTCGAGCCCGAAGCATCCGCGGAGACCAGGTAATAGACGCACATACAAGTGGTAGGCACTTCCATTTAACATTTGCCCCAATCTCTTCCAAAGAGTCTACACGAATGAGCCGCTGCCACCGCCAGCCCGTCACGGCAGCAAGAGCACAGGTCAAAGGGTAAGTCGATGACTCGATGGGCTCAATTAGGGCGCTCGTGAGATTTGAAAACATTTGTGTACGAACTGTCCAGCGAACCAACTGCAAGACGCTCTACATGACATGTCCGCAACGTTGTCTGTTACCCCTCTCTCTCTCTCTCTTTGTCACACGAGAACAGTTGGTTGATGTGTGTTACGCGTATCGTAATATTGGGCTAAGAGAGGGGAAACAAATTTTAAACAGGACCGATATTTCACTCTCTCTCTCAAGCTGACAGATACGAAATTTACACGACTTACTAGTCACTCGTATCCACGCAAAAGCCATAAGCACATGCTGCTCTCTTCCTTTCGCTCACTCTCCACCTGCCTCATTGCTATGACACTCTTTATTGGCATACCACTCGCTCTCTCTGCTATATCACTTCTCTTTACACGCACAAAGATTGCGTTTACATCTGAACTCTCTTTGCTATATAATCCACACTTCCTCGTACGCGCACGCACACGCAATGCAAAACTCATTGATATGACACTCAAGTTGTTTTATTCTCTCTTTCACTCTTCTTATCTGCCATTCTCTCTCTCTCTATTTCTCTCTCTCTCTAATATATCCACTCAGATGGAGGAGTTTCCACGTCGCGACGCTGCATCCAGTTCCAGAAATCGCAAGTTTCCCGATAGAAAGTAAATTGGTTTTCCTCGTTCTAGTTCATTCAACTTATTTATTTTCGTACTTACCTAACTATTGCATCTTCAGGGTAGCTAAAAAATTCGTTCAATAAGCTAAAGGCCAACAAAAAAAAAAAAAAACAAAAACAAAAACAAAAAGTCCTTGGCTCGGATATCCTTAATGTATGTACCTCAAGCAGTGCGGTTGTTACAAGCAAAACAAAGTGAAACAAAAAAGAAAAAGTCGAGAAAACAGAAAAAAAAAAACAAAACAAAAGAAGAAAACCCAGAACAAATTGAACGGACATCATCGATCTTCAGATGAAACGAGTATATCCTTTCGATTCTATTAGCTAAATATATATACACTTACCTACGATTACTCGAATGCATATACAAAAAAAAAAAACAAAAACAAAAAGACAAACAAAAAAAACAAAAGTAAGCAAAATAAATGATTATACTTATATAGGATAACTTTTTGATAGCAGCAATTAACTCAATACTTAACTAATACCTAGACCGACTATGTATACACTATACATATACACGATAAGCCCCTCCCGCGCTAGACCCTAATGAATATGATTATACGGCATATACCAATTGCTTTCGGGAGTTATACGCTGGCAAATTTGATGTGATCTTGATAATGTTATGATTTATAGTCTACTTTATGTCTATATATCTATTACTATATATCTGTATCTATATCTATATCTATATATGGTATGATGATAATCGGATAACTGAAAATCTGTTGTAACTACTTATAACTGTAACTGTAACTGCAACTGTCAGATCCTAAGTATTGTGTATTGCATAGTTGTTGCCCATATTTAGCTCAGATCAAATATCTCAATTCTGTTAAAGCTCAACAGTCAAACAAGGCGGGTGGGTGTGGCACTCGCACAGCATATATGCAGCACACACACACACGTGTGTGTGTGTGTGTGTGTTGATTTATGTGTGCGTATAATACTTATTATGAAACTTTAAAACAAGTCCGAAGACTGACAACTGGTAACCTTGGTAGCATCTCTATATGTACTTTATAACCACCCACCAATGCAAAGAACTATGCCCAAACTGTACGCCTAAGCCTAGTCTATTGCTTGCATTCACTAGCAGCCTGGCAACCCTGGCAAGCCTAGCATAACTAGCTAACTAGCAGTGCAGCCCTGGCCAGCTTACGATTCAAGAATATTATGTACAATTAAATAGCCACTGCCAGCATTTTGTTGATTTTAATTTACTATTTTTATTTTTATTATTATTATTGTGCTTTTTATTTTTATTGTTTTATTTTTTATTGTTTTTTTGGCTACATTTTTGTATTCAATATTTTTTTATTGCTTATATAAAAATAAGCATCATTTTGTTTAATTTATTTATTTATTGCTTTATTATTTTTGGTCTTTTATTATTACTTTTATTTAATTTTGTTTAGTTATTTATATTCGTTTTTTTTTTTATTTTTTTTTTTTATTATTTATGTTTAGTTGTTGAGTATATTCTTATTCATATTGGACTATTTTTTTTTTTTTTTTTTTTGTTTTTGTATGATACCTATTTTTTTTTTAATGTTATTGTTGATAACATTATAATTGAACTTCGATTAACTGATGGATTGCTCATCTGTCAAATCGTAACCAGTTTTCCTTGAACACAATTCCAGCGGCGGGTTCATGCGCAGTCGACTGCGACTTATCACGTAAACCGCATGCCACGGCAGATTGTCATTAAAAAAAAAAAAACATACTTTATAAATGAAAACTAACAAATAATTAACGAAAACAAAAATCTTTAGCTAGTATTTAAATACAAAATTGATATTAGCGCAACGGACATTCATTTAATGGAAACAGAATAGGAGAAAGAAGCGAAAACGGAAACGGAAAAGAAAAGCATAATAATAATTTAGGTAAATTATACAAATACGAAATAAATACGCATACAAAAAAAAATACTACTTTAAAATGTACTAAAAACAAAAACAGTGCAAAAATGAGGAGCTTTTTTTTTGGCACTGAAATACTCAAATACAATATTTGTATGGATCTTATGAGAAAATTGGAAAAACTTAAGGAAAAGTGTTTGTTTGATTGTTTGTTTTTTTTTTTTGTAGAATCTAAACTCGTAAAACAAGCACAAAATGCACTTGAAATGAAATGAAAATAAATAAAAATTAATAATAATAAAAATGTTAGAAATTTGTACAATAATGTAAACAATATATATATATATATATATATATGTATATTGTATTGTATAACTATAAACATTTATATAGATTCCTTTCCACTTTTTGACTCTTCTTTTTTCGGCATACGGTTATTAATGCTTCACACGTTTATATACCTATATATATATATACCTATATATATATATATGTTTGTGTATAAGTTATGTTTTTTATAAGCTATTGTATTACCTTAAACGGAACTAAAAAGAGAGAACTTTAAACGCTGATAAATTAATGGGTTAGGGAAGCCCCGAAATACGAATGCGCAGAGCAAAACTGTTGTTAAAAAAAAATGCATTTAAATAGAGAACAAATATTTCAAATCGAATAAACAAAACCAAAAATCAACTTAAATTGTTACGAAATAAACAAAAACAACAATTTCAACCTTCATCTATGCAAAAGAGAAAAACGTTTGAAGTCAAAGGTCAAAAATACGAGTTTATGCACTTTCATTATTTAACAATTCATATAGATATACTTAAGTACGTGAACAAGAAAATCAGCAGAAACCAAAAATGGAAAAAAAAAACCAAAGTAAAAAACCAAAAATCAAAAAACCCAAAAAAAAAACAAACATTAATTGAAAATTATTCATTAAAGTGACCGAAAAAAAAAAAAGAAAACAATTTCAAAAAACAATAGTTTGATTTACTTAAACTGGGCGGGCCATAAGTCCAGATACCAAATGCAAATAACACTGGCAAAGGTATTCATTCCGGTAAGTCGCATGCGGTAAAACTGATAAGCAATGATATCTATAGGCCATGTAATTAGCATGTTTGCATTTGACTCTGATACTCGTCTTGCCGTTGTCAATTTGTCATGATTATAATTGTTAAGCACACACATTCGTATAAGCGCTGCATATTTCACCTGCAATTATGCCATCAGGCGAAATTTTATTTCTCTGGAGCTTACAACACTTGATGCGTATCGCTTATCGTTAAACGCACTGTGTAAACATTCACATGGCACAACTGACTTGCACAACGGCGCACGCGCGCTCTCACGCTCTTTCTCTCTCTCCCTCTCTCTCTCTCTCTCCCTCTCACGTGCTGGCACAGACACGCTCTCCGCAACAATGGCGCTCAAAAAATTAGAAGCGCTTAAATTGTGCATTGCCAAATTTAGGCAGCAGCATCTACAGTTTGTTGTGTCCGCTAATTAAAAATCTTAACTGCACTTTGTAATATTTTACAAATAAAAAGTAAACAATAAAAACTTAAAAAAGCTGTCGCTCGTTCTCGTTCGTACTTTGCATAAGCCTACAAACTGCATTCCTTTAGTTGACCTATTCAAAGGATACGTAAAATATACAACAGATAAACGCGTATGTGTATGCGTGTGTTTGTGTGTGTGTGTGTGTCGCCTGTGAATTGTACACCGTAAAAACGTAACGAATGATCGCGCATAAGAGAAATTTGGTAAATATCGTAAGTATGAAATATCGTATATATACCTAAATATTTATATTATTCCTAAAAATGCTTAGAAATTATAAACATTTCGGCAAGTTTTCTATATGTAGACACGTACATTTTCAAAAATGAATAATATTAATGTGCCAGAAAGTGCATTAAATTCACAATATCAAGTATGTATGTATGTGTAAATAGATACATATATATAAATATGTGTATAAAATTATTTCACTTAATCATGCTTTTGACGAATTCATTAATGAAACGATATTGATAATCAATATCGTCAGCTTCAAAATATAAACAACCCCAATTGCATGTGGAAACCCACTCCCCCTCCGATCCCTTCCCAAGCAACGACACCACCACACAAAGTTAAGTCCAACAGTTGAGAGTTCTCAACCCCATACACACACACACACACACACACACACACATAAGCAATGCTATATGATGACGTAGCAAGAGAGCGCATGCTGCTCTCTTTCGTTCTCTCGCTTCCTATGTTGGTCACGCTCTCCGACAGCGGACCGCGTCAAATCTGCAGCGTTCATTTTGAATACGATTCAAATACAATACAGCAGTCGCACCGAACGGACGTACAGCGCACGCTACAAAAGTTTCTAATCGAGCAAAAAGAATAATACAAACAGAAGAGAGACCGAAAGTCGAGTTGAGTTGCATGTGAAATGCATTTTTGAATCGCAGCAAACAGTTCAGTGAACGTAAGCAAACGGTAAAGAACAACTGTGCGCACACAAATAGAAACGTCTAGAAAACAGAAGAAGCGAAAGCGAATTGTTTTGATTGGCAATCCGATTTTTGTTGCAATTTTTTTTTGGGTTCACGATTTGTGGCTGTGTACGTACATATATATATATATATATATATATATTTGATTGTGCTTGAAAAACGTAAACAACAAGAACAACGAAATGGCTTTCATGATGCCGGTTATGAAGAACAACTATGATATCTATAAGGACACGCGCTCCCGTAGCCGCAAAACGTCCGAGTGCTCCAATGTGAGCAGCGGCAACGGGACCACAGCGCTGGCCAGCGCTTTGGGCACACCGGGTCAGCAGGCGCCGCAGCAACAGCAGCAGCAGCAACGTCGACGCAAGGTGTCCGAATGCAAGTCGGAGAGTTTTGCGACGTCGCCGTCGCACGGCCAATTGGGCGCCCATCGCATGCAGATGCAGCGCTGTCACAGCTCTCGCGGCTTCACGCGCAACACTTCCCGCAGCTCCCACGGCGGCTCCATGGTGCAAATGTCGCAGGGCATTATGATGTCGCCGACGCGTTCGAGTCCGCCCAGCCGCACGCAGACCGCCTCGGCGCTGGAGCGTCAAGCGGCTGCACAGGCCGCCGCGCAGTCGGCAGCGACAGCGGCAGCAGCGCAGGCCGCAACGGCAGCGGCCGCAGTGCAGCAGCATCGGACGGAGCAGAGCAACAACGATTATACTAAATTCCATTTGCGTTTGGTTGACAAGCTGCGCAAGTCCTTTCGCAAGGACAGCGGCAAGCGGTCATGAGAACGCGTCTCACACACAAACAGCAGCAGCAGCAACAACAACCAAAACAGCAACAACAACAACAACAACAACCACAATGGCAGCGGCAGCAGCGTCGGCGGCAATAACAACAACAATAGCTCGCAGCTTGACAGCGACGCTGGCAGCACAACGCAGCGTTCCGGTTTCGTCAGCCGTTTGGGCCGACGATTTAGGCGCTGCTGCCAAGCATTTGGCACAGGCGCAGCCGCTGTCACTGCTGGTGGCGGCGCCGGCGGAGGCGGCGACGTCGGCGCAGGCGCAGCTGCCCTTGAGCTGGACTTTGATGATGTCGATGCACAGGACGGCAGCGGCGGCAGCGCTGAGCATCTAACCGCCAGCAGTCCGTATACAATACGTCGCAGTCGTCGTCGCTGCAGCAGCGGCGGCAGCGGCAGCATTAATCGCCTAAAGCTGCGACTGCGCCGCTCCACCTCGTCGCCGGGCTAAGCGCGCAGCGTTCTGCATACGGGCAATGGAAACGATCAAATTCGAAAACGATATTCGAATGCTGGAAATGCTAGGAATGCTTGGAATGCAGTTGCGGCGGCGACCGCACTGGCGTGCAGTGGCGTTGCCAGATGTGCCAAATAATCAAATTGGGTGGCGACAGCCAAAGGCATTGGAAAACAGGTAGCGAGAAGGCCTTGGCGTGTTGAATGAGTTGCCAGCTGTTTGCAAATGTTTTGTTAAACTATTTTTTTTTTTTCAACTTTATTTTTTTTTTTTGAGTTTTATTTAAAAAAAAAAAAAAAAACAAAAGAAAAAACCAAACAAAAAGTAAAGATGGATTTTAGACAAGTTTTCCTTCAATATAAATATACATAAACAAATTGATTTATATATATATATATATATATATATATCTTAGTTAACTAATTATATTTACATGCATATATACACAAATATATTTATATGTATTTACATGTGCTTAAAGTTCGTGAAACAGTGAAAAAAAAGGCTTCCACACAAACAGACATGCACACACACACAGAGAGACAAACACGCGCATACACACACCGACACACACACACACAACCTACATATACAACAAGAGAAACCATAGAGGAAAACACGCAGCTTAGCATTAAGCATAACGGTTTCGCTAGAAAGAGACAAAGAACCATTTAAATGAGACAAATTTGCAACTGCCAATTGCATTGTACAACAACAACAACAACAAGAAACACACACACACACACACAAAACGAGTAGCAAAAGACACTAAAAATAGAAACAAAGAATTTGCTAAAAAAAAAAAAAAAAAAAAAGAAAGAGGAACAGTTGAAAACAAAATTAAAATGTTAAATTTAAGCGCAATTTAATGACAATATATGTATACATGCATATTTATATATCAAGTTATATAAATACATATACATATTTATTTACTGTTGCGAGCAAAATACAAAACAAAACGAAACAAAACAGAGCTGATGATAAACAAAATATGAAACAGACTTGACAAAAATACATTATATAATTCTATATATACATACATACATACATATACATATATATATATATATATACATATAATATTTGGTATATTATAAATACCGCAACATTTGTACCTATACACATATTATTAATTATCAAACTTTTTTTTTATTGTTGTTTATACACATATATAAAATATATATATAAATATATAAATGTTTAGCGCTTTATTTTATAACAGCAACAACAACAACAACAGCAAAAACAAAAAATGATTAAAACACAATTTGAATAATATACATATGTAATCAGTAGAACAATGTTTTAGCTCTATAATTTGACTGGGTTTTCCTTGTGTTGCACGCCACCGAGCTCAACACACAGCAGCACACAGGTGGGTAGAGGGAAGGGGGGGGGGCGGGGGTGTACGGATATAAAGGTTGACTGAATGCATGCCAAATGCGCAGCATATGCGTTGGGCGCCAGCCACATAATATACCCCACTTCCCCACCCCTCTTCTCATGCGATCAGCCGCTTTCTTTGACTATTGCGGCATGCGGAAAAGCAAAGGCGCCCAAACAACATCAATACGTATGACAAAAACATGTGAGTTAGAGCGACCGACTGGCAGGATACCCTCTAGGATACCCTCCAGCTTCAGCTAAATGCATGGAAGTGCATTCTTCAAGAATTTCGGTGCTTGAAGTCCGATTTTTGTGAAGCTTTCACTTAAATAAGTTCGCGCTCTCTCTCTCGCTGATACTTTATTGAATTGCCAACTGAATGAGATACCCTGTAAATTAGTTATAAGCAAAGTCCACTAGGCTGTTAGCACTTTTGTTTGAGCGATGCCCTGTAGAACTTGTCTTTGTGTATGAATGTATGTATATTTGCTTCTATGAGATACCCTGTAAAATTTGTCTTTGTATATGAATGTTGTATATTTGGGTCAATGAGATACCCTGTAAACTAGTTATAAGCAAAGTCCACTAGGCTGTTAGCGCTTTTGTTTGAGCGATGCCCTGTAGAACTTGTCTTTGTGTATGAATGTATGTATATTTGCTTATTGAAGCAAATGAGATACCCTGTAAATTAGTTGTAAGCAAAGTCCACTAGGCTGTTAGCGCTTCTGTTTGCGCGATGCCCTGTAAAACTTGTCCAAGCGGTGTATTATACGCTTTGCAGTCGTTAGTAAGGTTTTTTGGACTCTGCATCAAATATTGAAGTGTGCCTATTATTGTTCTTCAGCGAATACCCTGTAAAATGGGTAAAAAAAAAACTGCGCTTAGCGTATTAACCAATAAATCAAGCTTGTTTGTCCGATTCTTGTGCATTAATTGGAGCAAAAATTGTATTGCTCGAGTGGTTTGAGCACAGCAGATACCCTGTAAAATATTTATACGACGAATGTGCACCCTGAAAGCTCTGCAGGTGGAGTATTCTTTTTCTGGTATTATTTCAGCACACTGAAGCGCCTTGGAAAGCAACAAATTGTCAATATATGCTAACTGAAATACCCTAGAAAACGTGTGTGTGGCTTGAAGTACTTTCATTGTATTGGCGGGCAAGCCAATGCAAACTGTGACTATTTGTCTGAGGAAAACCAAATCGTTGAACTAAAGACCAAAATAGTTCACATACAACAGCTGAGTATGCAAATTTACAGGGTATTTACAAATACCTATTTACTATGTGCTTAAGGCTTAAGTAATTTATTGTACGGTTTGTTAAGCATACAAGAACTTGGGCCAGACATTTTTCCCCACATATCTATATATATATTATCTATATAGTTTGAAATACTTTATATGGAAATCAATATGGATTGAGTACGAAAATATTATCATAAAAACTAAAGATTCTCGATTGTTGTTTGAAAACTTTCTAGAAATAAAATCTGTCCAATTTTCTAGGGCCGACATAGGGCATACAACAAGCCAAACCTAGTCGACGCTTAAATATTTCAATTTCAATTCGGTGCCAAAAAAAAAAAAAAATAAATAAACAGCAGCAGCAATAAAAATTGTCGCGAAATGAGTCGAAAGTCTAAAAATAGATGCGCCGAGAGGCATAAATGATCCGAGAAATGGACTTTGGGCTGGGGGCTACGAGATTTCTCGCGACTCTACAAATAACGTAACAATCTTAACTGCGTTTGTTGTTGTTGTTGTTGTTGTTGTTGTTGTTGTTGTCATTCAATTAGTCATATCAAGAAATTGGAATTGAATTGTTTTTTTTTTATTTTCTATAAACAAGTGCAAGTGCAAGGCATTTGTAGATAAAAAAAAAAAAACAATAGATATTTCGAATATTTGTTCTGTGTGCGTGTGTGTGTGTGTGTGTGTGTGTGTGTGTGTTTATCAGTGCTTTCTTATCGATTGTCATGGACATGGCGCGCGAAACCGGTTCGATCCAGTTTTGGTTTTGGCATATTTCAAGTTCACATGACAGTAAAATAACATGCAAGAGATTCTGGTCGGGTGCTCTCGACTAGGGGAACACCCTGAACCCGCTGCTTCCAGCAACGAATGCAAATCTATATACTATTCGGGAAGCTACAGGTTAAGTTTCGCTAGCTAGATCGATTGCTATCGATTACTTGTAGGCGGGACAAGTTATCGATTATCGATTATCTAGAAGGACCTACAGCTAACACGTCAAGTCGCTAGCTCTTATAGGCTCTGAGATCTGACGGACAGGCAGCAGACGAACCTGGCTAGATCGACTCGACTCTTGATGCTGATCAGGTATATATATACTTCATAGTGTCGTCGATGCTTTCTTCTGCCTGTTACATACATTTGCACAAACACATTATACCCCATTTGGACATTTTCCACGGGTGCAGGGTATGAAAATAAAGACTTATGTGAAATATATAGCAGATAGCGCCATATACCATCTGACTGCCATACACATATGCCATGTTCTGCACTCATAAATGTCAGCTTTTGATTTATATGCCGTATTTTTCGACTCCATAAATTGAATAATGGAAAGCGCTTCGATACATTTGGCGAATACTTGTTAGAAAAAGTACATTTATTAAAATACGACATGTCGTATACGTAATATTTTATTGATTAAATATATTTGATATATTAAAGCATTTAAGGTTTGCATATAAATATGCATTCAAACGTTTCGGTTAGGGTTTCCAGTTAATTGTAAGCAAGAGAATTTGCGAGTTAGAACCAGCACGGTTCAAACCCGCTTTGCAGTCGCATTCAATGTTAATGCTCTTCTGTGTTGTTCGACAATTCAGATGCATTTTGAAGGCAGTAAAAAAAAAAACACTAAGACTCTCCAAGCTGGCGCAATCCTAAGGCGCATTCGCTACAGCCACAAAAACTGAGACGTTCATTTACTTAAAAGTTACAAAAATGTAAATAAAATAAATTACGTCAAATAACGAAACGAAAAAAACCATATATATATATACGCAAAATAACTAACGTATAGTCGAAGTTTTGTATACCCTAACAGAGAGTATGGCGCCTTTGTCCTGAACTGCGCCATCTGGAGTTAGGCCAGTCGAAGGCACCCGCATCGAATGACCATATCGTCGTATAGCTGTCCATTAGCAACAGCAACTCAAAACATGAGCACATTCTTATCTATATCGTCGAACTATATATATATAAATATTTAGGCGTTAGGGTATGCCATCTTCGGCTTGCCGCGCCGAAGCGATCAGCTCGATCACAATGAAAGAATTCCGCAGCAGCTTTACTGGCTTGCAACATCTCAATTTGCTGCCATTGAGCAATTCACACACACACACACACACACACATATATATATGTATATATATATATATATATATTTCCGATTGGTTTCATCGGATTGCATTTCATGCTCCATCAAACACTGCCAAATCGAATGCATCTAATGAAATCTGCAATCCATTCGCTGCGAATTAAACTTTATATAACACAGCATGTGTGCGTGTGTGTGTGTGTGTGTGCGTGTGTGTGTGTGTGTGTGGGCGGGCGTGTGCGCTGTCAATATTGTTACGTATGCTTTTGTGAAATTGATGCTGCTTATTGTGCAACGCGTCTTCGTGGCGCTAATTAAAAATGAAATTGCATTTCGCACAGCAGCTTCCCTCCCCCCCCTTCCGCCTTCGCCAGGCTACCCGCCCCCCCCTCCCCCACGCCGGCCGGCACACGCGCATGCAGCGCCACGCCCACACAGAACAGCATAAAAACACGCGTCCATTTCGTAACACCGCCCCCCCCCCTCCTCCACTCCCCCAGCACGGTGTGCCCGTCCATTCATATTTACGCTTTTTCTTGTTTTATTCTTTGTCACTTGCGTTCGCATGCTCCCACTCGCTTGCCCTCTCGCTCGCACACGCTCTGTGTTGCCCGCGCTCTCTCTGACGCTCACAACATGCACAATAACAAATTGGGTTGCCCTTGACACGGGCTAAAGACTTGTTGTTGTTGTTGTTGTTGTTGTTGTTGTTGTTGTTGTGGTTATTGTTACATTTCAGTTGCTTCGATTCTATTCGCTAATTTACGGCGCGGTCGAGGTCGGTTGTCAGTGCTCGCCACTTGCATACCCTGTACTCGACGCGCACGCCTGACAATGGGTATACAGGTTTGCTGCAAATGTATGCAACAGGCTGTGTGAAGCATCTAACCCATATATAGTCCTGTTCTCAATCTAGAGGCATGTCGCATGGTCTGAGAGGGTAGAGGGGGGGTGTGCACAGAAAGGAGTATCGGGAGAAACATTTTGGATGGAAATGAGGCCCGGTGCAGCTGATCGATCCTTGGCCCGTTTTATCTCTACAAATTTGTAATACAAATATTCTATTCATTTGCTGAAAAGGTTCATGTTAATGTTGCGGGTTTGAACCAGCTTGCAGCCTAGTTCGACATTAATAAAGCTTTTGCTGCCAATGAAGCTTTATTTGTTTTGCAATTTTCGATCGATTTGACGAAATGGACAAGATCCAAATGGAAATATTCGGCAACGGGCCATGTGGAGGGTGGCGTGTGTGTGTCTGCTTGCTGCTTGTATGTGCGTGTGTGTGCGTGTGTGTGTGTGTGTGTAGAATGGAGTATAAAAATATAAAAGGAACTCCCTAGAAGAGCTGCTGCTGCTGCTGCTGCAGCTGCTCCTTTAGGAAGGAGACGCCAATGGCCAGCGCATCGTCCAGGCCCGGCACCGTAAGGAGCAGCACGGCATTTGGGACCAGCTTGCAATCGTACAGGGTCTTGTCCATGTCGCCGGCGTTCAGTTTGCCCGCCAAGTCGAACGGAAGGGTCTCATCCGACAGGCAGGATCGCACGAAATCAAAAATAACGGAAACCTTCTCGTTGACATCGAAGGTGCCCTGCAGATACAGTCCATTGGGCAATTTGATGCGTATCAGGGTGTGGCTATAGATGCACTGCCGCATCGTCCCGGTCATCGGCATTTGGCTGCCCTCGATGGTGTCCTTCGCCGACCTGCGATAGAAGTCGTCGGGCAGCTGAACGGGAATCGCCTGCACGGGCTGCAACACCTTGGGTTTGCGATCCAATATTAGTTTGATGGGCTGTGTGTGCTTTAGAGTTTCCACCAGTATGTCCAGATCCAGTTCAATGCGCTCCTTGCTCCAGACCAGAAATGGCTGCCCATTGATGGCGACTTCATCAAAGCCAGCCGCATGGAGCACATCGAGGGCGCCATTCACGTAACGCACCCTGTCATTGAATATGGTATTAGACATGCGGATTTTCGAGAACTGCTCCTGGTCTGGACTCTGGATAATGTTCTCCAAATACTGGACGAGTGCATCTCGACACTCGTCGGCCTGCTCCGTGGGATTGCAATTGCGTATGATTAGGCAGCCGGCCAGGCCACGTTCGTGCTCCAGCTGTCGCTGGAGCATGTTCTTGATCTTCAGCTGCCACGCTTGCTTGGTCAGCACCTCCGTGCTCAGCTCTGGGCAGCGAAAGAACACACCCTCGCAGGCTAGCTCCTGCTGCTCCCCCGTCGAGGACATGGTGGGCAGCACCTTGATAGCTTCACGCTGCGGCCTTGCCGCTGCCTCAGACCAACTATACTTGCGCATCATGCTCAGCAGGACGAGATTCGCGGCGGCGGCGCTCGTCTCAACGTGCTGCTGCTGGCGCTGGGGCGGCACATGGGCAGCCCGGATGCGCCGCAGAATGCTGGGCGTTGCGTACGGCTGGGCCGCGTTCAGCTGTCGTCCCTGGCCCATGCCGCTGCGCAGTCGAAGCCTGAAGGCGACCTCCTCCTTCTTTTTTGTAAAATATCGCTTGATCTTCGACATGCTCGAACGGAATTTTAGCAAACTTTAATTCGTTTGCGTTCAGTAGGCCACATTTGTTCGACTGCAAAGGCAACAAGCTCCTTGATCGATCAAATTACAAACATATATACATATATAGTTTCTAACTTGCCAATTTGCTAGACTTTGCATATTGTCTCACACTTATTTGCGCTTACTTTGCCTGCTTTTGTAAATATTGCCAGATGTCGAAAATTTGGCGTTTTCCAATCCAAAAAAAAAAAATGCGGTCACACACTCAACAACTGCATAAGCGAGACAAGGGCTATGGACGCCTGTCAAAGAAAATGTAAGTTAATATTTTGTTTTAGGCTAGATAGAAAAGTAGCTGCAGTGTATTTATTTTTTACGAGGTAACTGTCAGTCGTGCCAGCATGTCGGGCAGCTGCTTGCTTGATTTTTCGTCGCCTTTTGCGAGACAACAACAAATGGCAACAGGTTTTCATTGGCACAAGCTGCAACACACTAGCCAACGCAACCCACCTCTCCCCCTCGATCCTGCAACATCCCACCGCACGACATTCGCCAATCAATGCTAACCGCATATATATATATATATATATGTATGTGTGTATGTATGTGTTGCGCGTGCTTCGTTCAATTCACCAATTATGAGTTAATAAACAATTTCTCGTTTTATCCCGTTCGATTTGGCCAGCCAAAAGAAATAGCACGCATTCGCACACACACATTCGCACACACACACAGAGAGACGCACATATACGCCTACATATTTTTGCAGCGCTGTGACGTAGTTATGCTAATGCACTTTAAACACGACGACACTGACCCCTACCCCAAATTTGTTCACTTGAGTTGTCTTTCCAGTGTCGTTAAGTTCATGCGTACTCACAGTCGCATTCATGCTCTTTCTCTCTCCCCCCTCTTTGCATGCGACGGCGTCTTTCAGTCGCCGCTTTAAGTTCCATTTTTTTTTTTTGTTGTCTTCCATTTGATGCTGATGTGCGTGTGCATGTATGTGTGAGTGTCGGCAATTGTCTATAATTGCACGCGCTGCAATTTAACGAAAATGAGCAAACCACCAAAAACTAAACGAAACATGTAAATAAATACATATGTACATATGTACGTATGTATGTATGTATAGAAATTGCACTTGGAGCATGCCAATTCCAATGTACAGTTGCCTCCATTAATTGGTTTATTTTCGTCTCTTGCGTTTTGGCATCTTCAACTTGTTGTTTACAGACCGGCCAAAGATCAAGGTGAAGCGGCAGCGGATACAACTGCCTGTTGCCAAAAACTGAATAGAAAAACAAACGCGAGTGCCTGTGTATGTGTATGTGTGTGTGTGTTTATGTTTACGATATTCTTACATATCCCACTTGCCCGCCCTGCTGATTTGCATTGACGTCACAGACGCCACCAGGGCCAGGCGCGACGCGTGCGGGCGGGCGTTGAAGGATGTATCGAGTGGATAGCAGCAGTTGACATGCAGCGCATTGGGCGTGGCCATTTCAAATGAACGGATGCTGCTCGGAATAAGCAAATTAGCCAGCAATAAGGAGTAAGTTATTAAGTACACATAAGTGCATGGCAAATAGAACGGATGGCAGCGAACGCAAAGGATCACGGACGCATTAGGCGGAGCGCTTTTGCACAGTGGCGCAAAATGTGCCAAATGACAGCAAAAAATAATATATATAGTAATGGGTTTTTGTGCAGCGTTAACCGCAACGCAAAACAAATAATGCAATGGAAAATTCCCAAAACAATTGGCCAGAACAGGTTTGTGGCCAGGGGAGGGTGTCGAAGCGAGTGCGAACTAGTTATGAGGTGGTTGCTTTCCTGATATGCCCATCGATTTAACAAAGCCCCGTTATCCTGACCTAGACAAAGTTTCGCCCTATGCGCAACTCTCTCGCTCCGTCTCCAAATCTCTCTCCTTGTGCGTGTGTGTGTGTGTGTGTGTCTGTCTCCCTGCTTACATGCCAAAACTCACGTCAGCCACAGCGGCGACAACATTGACAGGCATTTTCGAGGTTCGCTCGTCTGTGCCGGCAAAGATGACAAGTTGAGGCCCCGCAGCCCACAGCCCGCACCACGCCAAACTTTTCCACTTCCCTGTCATGGTCATGTCCGTGTCCGTGTCCGTGCCCGTGTCCGTGCCCATGTCCGTGTCAAGGACATTTAACTGCGTGTACGCACGTTTCACGGCTCTTGTGCTTATTGATTTTGTGTTTAAACGGATTCCTCTATTGTTCTTAACCAATAGAAAACATTTTCTTTGGGCCATTAAACATGCCCCAACCAATTTGTTGACAGTTTCGAGACAATAAGCTTTGCTAAGCAAGATGAAACAGCCATTGTTCATAGGAATGCAAATAAAGTCTACTTAACGGTAAATACGTATTTAAACCCCAACATTATTTATCGAATAGACGCATTCGATTTACTTTGTTATTTAAAGGACAACAAAGACCTAATTGAGACTAAACTAAGTGCACTTGAATAACTAGATAAGTTAGATAACCCCCTGTTAAATATTTATCTATAAGACTCACTGCGATCCATAAGCCCAACTGCATGACGAATCACTTTTCTGCTGAATTTCCTACACATACACAATTTCGCCAGAAATAGTTATATCCAAGTGTGTCCAACGAACCAAACAGATAATGCTTATTATATTTTTCCAATAGATTCGTTGACTTCAATGCGATTTATTACTAATTAATTTCGAACCCTTGGCCCATGGTAACTCTCCCACAGCCCACATTAGCCACATTCCCCAGTTTCCCGCTATCCGACTGAACATATGGCGTTTCCTTTTAATCGGCTGAACCCTCGTTAGCAATAAGCTGATGGCCCAACTACTTTGGCCAACTTGGGTGCAGTGCACAATTGGGAAATTTTTATAAAAAAAAAAAAAAAAAAAAAAAAGAAAAGATGCGATTGGATTAGCAGCAGCTCTCGTTATCTCATCGAGTACAAATTGAAGGCAGGATTTTATGCTGGAGCTGGTTATTGTACATGATTCATAAGTGCAATTGCAGAAATATTTGTAGTTAACTCAAAAATTATAATGCATTTTTAATGGCACGCATTAATGGTGAAAACTTTACCAGCTGAAAATCATTAGCGCTTCGCATCGCTAAAAATTAGCCTTTTGGGCGGCATATAAAAGACGGCAGCACCTCGAATTCTGGACAGTCCTAATTGAATTCGTGACCTTATAAAGTGGCCAGAGCCAGACTTAGCGCCCAGTAGGCAATCTTTTTAATTATCATTGAATCAATATCAAAGAAAATTCACTTTGAAGGCTAATTCGGTAATTTTCTATTATTTTATATAAATTATGCGCCCACGTTGGGCGCCGACAATAACTAAATAGTCAAACGCTTTTCACATTTTATTCGCAACGCGCTCTTCAGTCATGGAGAAGCTGAATACCACAGTTGGCCACCCAATGCCGTTAACATTCGACCTGGGCATCTGCCTTGAAGACTTCTGGCTGCAATGTGCATTGGCCCTGCTCATCGGAGTGGCCATGGGGTTAGTATTGTGGCTAGTGCGTATGTTTATCCTGGGTCCGATGTACCGCAAACCGAACCGAATCGATGGCAAGGTGGTCATCGTCACCGGCTGCAACACGGGCATTGGCAAGGAGACGGTGCTGGAGCTGGCGCGCCGGGGCGCCAAGATCTACATGGCCTGCCGGGATCCGGTACGCTGCGAGGCAGCCCGCATCGAGATCATGGATCGCACTCAGAACCAGCAGCTGTTCAATCGCAGCTTGGATCTCGGCTCGCTGGAGTCGGTGCGCAACTTTGTGGCACGCTTCAAGGCCGAGGAGACGCGCCTCGATATCCTGATCAACAATGCCGGCGTCATGGCCTGTCCGCGTACTCTCACCGCCGACGGCTATGAGCAGCAGTTGGGCGTCAATCATTTGGGTCACTTTTTGCTTACTTATCTGCTGCTGGATCGGCTCAAGCAGGCGGCGCCCAGCCGCATTGTGGTGGTCACCTCGTTGGCGCATCTCTTCGGGCGCATCAACCGCGAGGATCTGATGGGCGAGCGCAATTATCGCAGCCTGTTGGGCGCCTACACCCAGTCCAAGCTGGCCAATGTGATGTTCACGCGAAAGCTGGCCATGATGCTGATGGGCACGGGCGTTACGGTCAATTGCTGCCATCCGGGCCTGGTGCGCACGGATCTCTATCGGCACTTTGTCGCTCCGCGCTGGTTCCTGAACACCCTTAGTGTGCTCTCACTTTATTTCTTTAAGACGCCGCGTGCCGGGGCCCAGACTCAGCTATATTTGGCCCTGGATCCGGCATTGGCCAATTGCACGGGTTGCCTATACGCGGACTGTGTTCGCTGTCCGCTCGTGCCCAGGGCACGTGACGTGGCCACCACCGACTGGCTCTGGCGCGAGAGCGAGAAGCTTGTGGGCTTGAGCCCAGCAAAACGGCATGCAACCAACATTACAATGTGGTCCGACGCCTAAATCGTTGATTGAATAATCGAATGGGAGGACAGTGATTGGGGGATGTGCCTGGGCAAGGCCAGGTTTTGGGATGGGACTCAGAAGGCAAGGAAAACGGAATGCAGGTGAAAGATTTTCAGCAGTCAATATTGGACAGATACAATTATATGCTCTTAAAGCCACTTTTGATTAGGTATCCAATATCAAAACCCCTAAAGCCCCTCATAGCGTAGAACGTTTTGAGTCCTACAATTTCCCATGACTCAACCATAGTCCCTTTTTGTATACCCGTGCAGAGGATATTATAATTTTGTCGTGAAATGTGTAACGCATCGAGGGAGAAAACATCTCCGATCCCATCAAGTATATATATATATATTCTTGATCAGTATCAAGAGCCGAGTCAATATAACCATTGTCCGACTGTCCGTCTGTCTGCTTCTATGCGAAGCTTTCTTTATGAAACTTTGCAGAAGTCCTTTCTGTTGCACGCAGCACATATGTCAAAGCCAGCTAGATCGGACCATTATATCATATAGCTGCCATAGGAACGATTGGTCGAAAACTGGGTTTTTGATTAAGACCCTCTTTTGTTTCTAAAGATATCTGTGCCGGACAAAGCACTATGAGCATTCTGAGAAGGTTGGGTCTGCAAGGGTATTTGATCTTCGGCGTGCCGAAGACAGCCTTGTTCTTGTTCGTTTTCTTAGAAAATGTTTAGACGTACCCTTGTTGTAGCAAGTAGATGCATAGACAGAAATCCTGCGAATATTATTATAATAATAATGCTCAGTTTAACAAGTGCAATTTGCGAGAAATCGGTTTTTGAACAAATATTTTGAGGTTATGATGAAAAAAAACAGTTTATTCCCGGGCATAACTGTTCACATTATAAACTTCAAATGTTTTAATGTTTTATGCTCCGCGTACAAAATTTTTGTAATATTTTCTACAAAAACTAAAATACCTTTTGTGCAAGTGTAGAGCATTAACTAGTCCGCATACTTGCAAGAGCCTAATTTACATGTGTCGAGCCCTGCCCAACAATTGGGATATGAGCAAGAGAGAGAGAGGGAGGGAGAGAGAGAGAGATCGACAGGTTGAGAGAGCGGCGGCGGCCACAATCAAAACAAACAAGCCGAAGAGCGTGTACAACCAAATAAAACGGAATGCAAAAAAATTGTTCAACGGTAGCGTCGACGCTGGCAGCGAAGCGAAAAAAAATCGCTTTAAAGTGAAAGTCGAAAGCATAATTCAAGAGAAGAGCAAAAAGAAATTTACGACAACAACAACAACAACGACAAAAATGGGAATAACAGGCAGCAGCCGTTGCGGCTTCTATGGCCATGTTGGTCTGTCCCCAGCCGGAGTGTAGTGCGACTGCGACGGCGACTGCGACGTCGACTGCGACGCATGCACATGCATAAACTTATATTAATAACAGACGCCAGCAAAGGCGACGGCGTCGCCGCTCAAAATTATATTCAGGTTATTTGGACGTGTTAGCAGCTCAGCTGTAGCCAGAGCCAACGGGAGTTGAAGTCGGTTTCAGTTGGTTAAGATCGCGCGAGAAGCTTGGACGCAACGGTAACAAGAGCAGGCGCAGAAAGACAATTCCAAGAAGCAGTTCCACACACATACAAACACACACACACACGCGCGCGCGCGTACACAGATCAAGAGATAGCCGACAGCATTCGTCAAGTGCTCAACTTAACGAAAGCCATTGTAACTGTTGTTGTTGTTGTTGTTGTCGATTAAATGTGTGAAATTGGCGCGTGAGGAAGGAGAGAGGAAGGCAAAGAGTTGGGTCATCGTCAAATTTGGCAAGTAAGAGATTCGTCAGGTGTTTACAAATATTTCGAAAGTATTTTCTGTCGTTTTTTTTTTTGGAATGATTTGCAAACATAAGCTCGACTTTAAATGTTATCGATAAATATGCCTGGGCAAAGGTTTGGCGCTTAATAAAACTAAGCCGTTAAATTTGAGTTAATTTCAAGTCGAATTGAATGTTCTAGTTGCAATAAGTTTTTAAAAATGTCGATAACAAATCGATGACAAGTTTATCGTTCGAAATTGTCAATAATTAAACAAACCAAAAGAAAAAAAGAAAGATTTGTATGTTTGAGTAAGTGTCTCGATAAATAATAAATATATTTGTGCCTTGTTATAACCTAAGCAGGAATTTCACGCTTTATAATGAAAATGTATCTATCAATAGATATTTAGATGTCGCTAAATAGCCCATAACGGGCGGCACCTTAACGCTTATTAACTAACTTAATCGAACTTGATTCTAGGATTTTTGGCACTTATAAAGAAAATCGATCAATAAATCTGTTATCGATAAACTTGTTGCTATATTATGGTCAAACTATTCTTCTCGCCCGCAGGCACCTCCCACCATTCCCCCAATCCCGATTGCAGCCACCAACTGACGCTCCCACACACACGCACACACACACACACACACGCACAGCTCTTAACGCCGTATTCTAGCTATGTCGGAGGCTGCCACGCCCACGACAACGAGGACTGTTTACGACCCAACCGCCGAGGCAGCCGAGAAGGCGCTCTGCTTTCGTGGCATCTGGGCCTGGCTGGTGCTCCTGCTGCTGATCGGCTTGTGCATTGCGTTTGTCATGTGGCTGCTGCGCAAGATCATTCTGGGTCCGATGTACCGCAAACCGAACCGCATCGATGGCAAGGTGGTCATCGTCACCGGCTGCAACACGGGCATTGGCAAGGAGACGGTGCTGGAGCTGGCGCGGCGAGGCGCCAAGATCTACATGGCCTGCCGGGATCCGGCACGCTGCGAGGCAGCCCGCATCGAGATCATGGATCGCACACAGAACCAGCAGCTGTTCAATCGCAGCTTGGATCTCGGCTCGCTGGAGTCGGTGCGCAACTTTGTGGCACGCTTCAAGGCCGAGGAGACGCGCCTCGATATCCTGATCAACAATGCCGGCGTCATGGCCTGTCCGCGTACTCTCACCGCCGACGGCTATGAGCAGCAGTTGGGCGTCAATCATTTGGGCCACTTTCTGCTCACCAATCTGCTGCTGGATCGGCTCAAGCAGGCGGCGCCCAGCCGGATTGTGGTGGTCACCTCGGCGGCGTATCTGTTTGGGCGCATCAACCGCGAGGATCTGATGAGCGAGCGCAAGTATGGTAAATTCTTTGGCGCCTACACCCAGTCCAAGCTGGCGAACATACTGTTCACACGGAAACTGGCCGTGCTGCTGCAGGGCACGGGCGTTACGGTCAACTGCTGCCATCCGGGCCTGGTGCGCACTGAGCTGAATCGCCACTTTTCGGGCGCCAACTGGACAAGGAACATGCTCAAGTTTATGTCGCTCTATTTGTTTAAGACGCCGCGTGCCGGCGCCCAGACCTCGCTTCGTCTGGCGCTAGATCCCGCTCTGGAGTGCACCACGGGCAACTATTACGCGGACTGTATGCGCTATCCACTGGTACCCTGGGGCCGTGACATGGACACCGCCGACTGGCTTTGGCGCGAGAGCGAAAAGCTGGTCGGTCTGCCGCCCATTGACCCAAACAATCCGAATGGCCATAATGCCCAGAATGGCGGCGGAGCACGTTCCGTTCCAGCGACTGCGACGCCGGCTGGTGAGACAGTGGAGACCGTTGTGGTCGATCGGGCGGCCAGCTAAAGAGACTAGAGAATCGAATGGCCAGCCGGCTTGTTGTTATCACAGCCCAGTTGAAAGAGCGCATCCAGCTCGCAAACCGGTTTGGAACCTGTTTTATGCTTATTATTACTTTTTTTTTTTTTTTTTTAAGGAATCTATTTGGCCGCAAATCAGAGATCAAAAAATGTTGGCTGATATGGCTATGGTAGTATTTTATTTAAATATATATACGCATACATGCATACATGCATGTTTGTATGCATGCATGTACATATGCATGTTTGTATGCATGTGTGTATGTACATGCGTGCATGCACATGGAAAAGCTTTCGTTTTGTGTGTAATTTTGAGTCGAAAAACCGAAATTCAATTAAACATGGCGACAACAACAACAACAACAACAGCAGCAGCAGCAGCAGCAAAGCGAAAAAGTGGGCGACAACAAAAGCAAATTCATTGAAATTCGCCGCCGTTGCAGCTGCTGCTGCTTCTTCTTCATCATTTTTGTCATTAACGCAGGCAAAAGCAAAAACCAAAAACAAAAACGAAACGGCAACAAAAACAAATCGCCAGCAAAAGCATCGAGAGTGCAATTAAACCCATGCAATGCCCAGTGGGTCGTTTTGATCCGCCAGCTTTTCTATGGGGATTATCATATCGTACATACATACATACATACATACATACATGTTATGTGTTGTGTGTGTGCCCGAACGCAGCTGGGCTTGATTTCCTCAGCTGCCGCGGGCACCGCTCTGCCCCGGGTCTCTGGTCAGCAATTAGACACGCCTAATTGTGACTGTTATCAGAGCGAGACAACTAATGCGACTGAATTAGCGGTAAAACAAAGGAACAAAGACAAAAATAACAAAACATTTCGCTTGCATATGTATTTGACAAGGGTTATTAAAAGCGGGATCTTACAAAATGTGAAATATTATGGAAAATCTTGCATTTTATATTGTTTAAGAATCTCACATAAGGGTTAATCGAGAATACAACAAAAACTTACGAGCGGCCAGCAATTACACGAAAAATTGCATGGAAAATTCCACTCGCTGAGTGCCTTTGGATAGTGAGCGCCCTTTCACACAACACACACACACGCACCGTGGCAGACAGACACAGCCCCCACTTAAATATACCCAAGCCCAACATTGAATTAAATTGAATCAGTATTTTCATCGGCGAGGTTTAAGCATATGGAAAGCAGTATTCATGTACATGCATATGTACACATGTGTTTGCATGCATGTGCATGTGCATGTTTGTAGATATGTACACATGCATATACAGTTGCCTTTGGAGACTGTGTGCAGCTTGTGTTGCCCGAAAGCAACAAAATAACATCAAAGCCAAAGTGCATACATACATATGTATGCATGCAAATCTTAACGAAAGTTAACTAATCCGCCATCTGGCAACGCCCTGCTAATTATGTCCAGCTCTGCCCAGCCCACAACAAACCGACTTAATAACGGAGCATGCATATGCACGAACCGACGCACATACGCAAAAATAATAAAAAAAATATAAAAAAGAGTAACATCAAATAGCAAAAACTTTCCACAGAAATGTTTGGACAAAAGAACACAATTTGTGTGTGTGTGTGTGTGTTTTGTTTTTTTTGTAACAGACGACATGCTGCAATTCGATACGGAATATGTCATTTGGGCACGTACGGCGACTCAAGCCGGCCTCAGCGGAGCGCCCATATACAAACATACATACGCAGGTAAGTACCGTATGCATGTGCATACATATATACTTGATGCCAAATGAGACTACATGCGTACATATATAAGCGAGTTTAATGCTTTCCAAACAGATCGCGTAACGGAACAAAATGTTCCAGAAACTTGTCATAACTGTCATCACCCTGCAATCGTATTATTTAATGATAATGGCATACACACATACTATGAGTGTATTTGCCCAATGAACATTATTGCAGTTTATGATGTAATTACCAATCGCTAGATAACAAAGTCGGTCAGTAATGCAGAATTAAACAAAAAAAAAAAAAAAAAACGATTTGCAGCCCTACCGCAAATCGTATGCATATTAATAAATGCGCGCACACACACATGTCTGCACACATATGCATATGGCGCATGCATGTATGCATGCATGTATGCATGTGTGCATGTGAATAATACCAATTGCTTAGATTGGCGATTTGCATTTTAAAAGGCAAACGTGACTGCATCGGCAAAAAGTGAGTCAGCAGCCCTCCGCTACCCTCGTCCGACATCTTTCCATATGCCATACTCTCTACACTGGGCGGGTAATACGCATTTGTTCATCAAATTCAATCGAATTCTCAAAGAAATTCAAATGGATTTTCGCAAATGTATCGTAACAAATGTAATTTCCAGCTATTTTCCACAGTTGCGTTTATTGTTATATAGTAGACTGTTCGACTGGAAGATTATTTTATAGGAATAATCGGGTGGATTGGAAAACTTTGTTTCGAAAAGTGTGCTGAATTGGTCAAACATGTGATATATACATGTATGCATATTTCCGCATTGCATGCATGTGTGTGTGTGTGTGTATGTATATGCAAGGGTATACGCACGTCGGTCTCGCGTATCTAGTCTGTTGGGGCTTCGTTTTGTTGGCAGCTCTGAAAATAATAATTATGATAGTGCAACACACTTGCTGCCTAAGGACGCCCGATAACGTTTGTTTAGCCAAAGCCTGATGTTTCAGCTGGCACCCAGCGGTACCTGGCGCCCGCCCTGACGCTCCACAGTCAGCTCCACGTCGTGCGCAGCACATACATACATATATGTATACATATATACATGCATATAACTGCCCAGACACATTGTGCCTCGACTGGCGTTGACCACGTCAGCCAGTCTCTGGGAAGCGTCTCGACTGACGTATTGCGATCTTTGAAGCCAATCAAACAACCTACTCGTTTCCCTTGTCTATGTCTGTATGAAAAAGGGGGGAAAAGAAAAAAAAGAGAGAAAGAAAACAAAATAGAAAAGTTTTCCATAAGCTCGGAGCGTGGGGTGTACAATGACATCTCGCATTCAGCTGTGGAAATTCGCCCAAGTGTATGGAAATGTTTCTGTGATCATGTGAAATGTGTAAATAAACAAAAAACAAAAAAAAAAAAAGAGCTGAAAAATACGTATGTACGGGGAGTGCACGACTTGGAGATTTGATGCCAATCGAAATATTGCAAATATTTTAGCTGCCTTTTCTCTAGCTCAAACAGCGTACATATTTTAAGTAACGGGATTGCCCAAGTAACGGTAATTCATCGAGATATGCTCAGAAAACCAAAGTTCCCATATCGATATTTATCGATATATTTGCGAATAAGGTACCCCTAAAGTTGAGCTGTCTTAGCGAAGGCAGCGGCTATATCGATATTTATCGAAAGTATAAAAATGAAAAGCAATATCGGCAATTGTCAGGAATACGTGCATATACCTTATGGACTCGAATCTGACTCGTTCTGGCTGTCACATGCATATGCACCAAGCTCGTATGCCCCATTTACGCGCTCTCAATGGTTCCAGGGTATGCGAAATGAAAACATTTGTACGATCGTAGCGCATTAAGACATTAGAAAATGCCAGAATATTTTCAATAGCTGCATTTCTTTCAGGCACATATGCATATGCACATACATGTGTACATATATGCACATATGCATATGCACATACTTGGCGGATCGTCTTGCAATCGGCCCAAGGTCGGGCCGCGTGTTAATTAATGCAAAACGGACTGCAGAAATGGAGGAACTACTTTCAAGTGCATGCGACTGCAAGCATTTGGTTTAAAGGGTAATATATTGAGAAACACCTCTTTTAAGCACAAGTTAATATCGAAGTATCGTTTTTGTTTTCTTTCACGAAACTTACTTAGCTCCTTGCGATGTTTCATTCAGCTCACAATTCGAAACAATCTCGTTTAGTTAACATATTATTTTACAAAATTTTTGGTCATCTGAAAGATATAAGTACACGATGTCAACGATCCTCAAAAATGCCCGTTCGGTAAGTTAACGAACTACTCATATACATACATGCATTACATGCATACATGCATACATGCATGCATACTTACATATGTACATGCATACATGCTTGCATGCATACATACATAATAACTAGAGCTAGTTAGTCGCATAGTATAATTAGCCGTAAGCATATTATTCATTACATTCGACAATTGCACACGAATTCGCCAGGCTGCGGATAATACATTTGCCATCCGAATGCCTTGGCAACGTGACAAAAATGTGTTTAACCATAAATGTCCACATAACAAGCATGTGCATCTATGTATACCCCCCATTTTTTGTTGTTGTTGCGACGCGTGAGTTCAAGATTGCGCAACGTGCGAATATTATGAACCCAGTCAAGACGGCGATTCCATCTACATCTTACGAAACAAAATGGCTGACAAGCTGCTTTCCTTCCAAAAATAAAAACCAAAGGCAAGAAAAACGTCAAAATTGGGGTGAGTTGGGGCTGTCAGTGCGGTGTGCTGTTTGAAATTTGCCGCCATTTTCCTTTGGGTAACAGATGCTCAACTGTTGGGCACACTGAACACGCTTCAGTCTGCAGCGCTGCCACCTTTTCGCGTTCCATATACGTAACTGAACTTTGCACATTATTCCAGTTGCTTTTAACGCAAATTGGAGTGTAACGTAAATGTTGTGAAGTTTATGTTGCTAGTGAAAATGTATTTAACTGCATTTCACATTTGTTAATTGCATTTGATAGTGCAACGTAACGTTAACTGCTCAACGTATTGCCAAATGTGTGACGTAAGCGCGTGATACGTGACGTATGTGTAAAATTCGTGATGCAGCCAACTTAACGTCAGTGCGATTAATACCAAAAACAACGCAGCATTTGTGCCAGTGTGACCATTGTTAGACGATGTTGCCACAATCGACGAAAATTGTGATATTGAAGTGGAAGAATTAAACTTGGTGGCAAGAAAGTCGCGAAAGAGTGTTGACTATTGTAAGAAAAAAGTATAATTTGAACGCGCCAAAAGTAATTTAGCAACTTGCGCATTGTTTACAAATATTTTACAGCCCAGCGACGACAATTCAAGCAAAAATTAATCAGAAACCTTAACTAACAAGCACTGACACACGCACACAACTAAAAAGAGAAGAAAAAAAAAATATATATATCTGCTGGAGGAGAGGCGCTGACGCTACGCCACGCCGCGCCGCGCCGCATAGAACAACAAATAGTCAGCGAAAATTAATAATATTATAGGCATTCATATAGACATAAAAACATTAGCAATTTTTATCAATAAGCGACGCTCACGGCAGCAGCAACATGAATTCGAAACGCATCAAATACACAACGCTGTCGAGTCCGACAGATGCGCCGTCCAAGGAGGAAATTGTGCCAGTTATCATACAGCATGATACAGACGATGTGGACGGCAGCGGCGAGTCGACACAGTATACATATGCCTATACGACCAATGAGGATGATGATACCGAAACGGCCGTGGTGACGCTTAGCGATCGCGACCATGAGGCGCTTGCCAATGCCCAGGAGGTGATAATCGATGAGAACGGGCATGCGGTGACGTTGCAGCAATTGGTGGAGAACAGCACCGTTGAGGAGGTGGAGACCATTGAGCAGGGCGACGGCACACATACCATACTGCACATTGTGCCGAACATGGAGGACGATGAGGATGATGATGAGGAGGCTATTGAACATGATGATGATGAAATTGTTGGCGTTGAACATGAGGAGGGCGAGGAGCAGGACGACGAGGAGGATGATATGGGCTCAATTGTGTTTGAAGGCACCATCGATCACAGTCCCGAATCTGATTCGCAGTCGCGCAACAAGACCTTCTATTGCCCAAATTGTGGCAATTGCTATAGCGCCGCCGGCTCACTAAAGCTGCACATGCGTGCCTGTTTGCGGCAGCGTAACGAGGTCTCTGCCGAGGATCGCAAATGCAAGGTGTGCAGCAAGATCTTCAATTCGGTGGCCTATCTCAAGGAGCACATGATGCGTCACACTGGCGAACAGCCGTTCCGTTGCACGCGCTGCTATCGCAAATTTGTTGACGAGGCCAAATATAATACACACATGGATTCGCACAAGCATCAGGACAAGCTTGAGGCCGAGGCCGAGGCATTGGCCGCCCAGCATGGCGGCAAAAAGGTTGTCGTCAAGGAGTTCACCTGCTCCTTCTGTTCGCAAAACTTTACCGTTGTCTTCGATGTTGGCCAGGTGAAACGGCGCTATGCCTGCGATGCGTGCCGCGACAAATACTCAAATGCGGAGGCGTTGCGCCAGCACAAACAACAGGTGGAGGAGAAGCGCGAGTTTAGCTGCGAACGCTGCGGCCGCAAATTTGTGTTCGAGGGCTTCCTGCAACGCCATCTGCCCACCTGCGATGGCAGCATCAAGCGTCGCCGTGACATGAAGTAGAGGTGGCAGCAACGTGATGGCAATTGGCGGCGACGGCGCAAAAGATCCGATAAGATCGACAACGATCCGGATCAGCAGCTGCATGATATCGGGGATCAACAGCAGCTGCAGCTGCAGCTGGAGCACGAACAGAAGCACAAGCAGCAGCAGCAGCAGCAGGAACAGGTGCTGATGTCGCCGCCAATGCGTTACGTTGTTATCAAACAGGAACAGCTCGAGGAGCTGGAGGAGAGTGTTGACCAGGAACAGCCCTAGAGGCAGCTCCAAAAAAAAAAAAAACAAAACTTTGATAATATACTTTTCTTTCTTACACACACACACACACACACACACCAGCTGTAGTTAAATACTAGCTTTTAGGCAGTCCCAAGCGCGCCTCCAGCTGGCAATGTAATTATAATTTTCTCTCTCCACGTCAAACAAGAAAAAAAAAGAACATTTTCATTGCTGCGCTCAATTTGATATCGAACGCACACCTACACACACACACACACACACACACACACACACACTTGGTTCTTGCCACGCTGGGGGCCGTAATACATATAAATACACCCTAATATATATATATAAATATATAAAAAACAAACATATATATATATATATGTGTATATATATATAAATACATATAGAGAAAGATATCGACGACAACACGAGCAGTAAAATCGAACTTGATATAAACTTTTTTTTTTAATATATAATAATAATTATAAGAATTTGTTATGGGAGTTTATCGAGGCATATATATATATATATATATATATATATTAGTTTATATCCATATATCAGGGCTGCGTACAATGTCAAATGTGTACTGTGTACTTTTTATTCAATTTATACTTTTCCATTTACCATAAACGGATCTGAAATGATCTTGAATCAGCCGAGATATTGCGTAAAATTCCCCTAAAATGAGAATATGCTGCTTACACAATTACAATTATTGATGTTGAATTCAATAAAAACAAAAACCGTGAGAAAAAAACAAACGAAAACAAAACAAAACAAAAAACTGTAAACCAAACATTTTGCTTTGACTTCTCGTTTAACTAACCATAAGCCATATTATGTATATTCCATAGTTGTTCCTCGCAATTTTCATATTCCTGCTTTTGACCATTTCCCTTAGAAGAGCTGTGTATATGGAACACAGATCGCACAAAAAAGATCCTTCAGGATATTTAAGCTTCGTCAAATTCTCATCGAATTATAAACTGTTTCGTTTTACGGTTTGAGCCAAGTTCTGGTTCAAATCTTGTTTTGGCATACATTTTACAAAATTTCCAATATTTTCCTTTGAATTGCCCGTTCTGCTGAAAATATAGCATTTCTTACATATTTTCATAAAGAAATTTTGGGCTAGATTTGATTCCCATCCGAAGTTTCCGTTCTGGTTCAAACCAAAATAATTAAACCCCATTTGAACCGATTTCTAGCCTAGATTATTGTACAGAACTTTCTCATGCAACTATATGATATGATTGATATACATTCGGAACGTGTGGCCTGTGTTTTCTCGCGAACATAAAAAAACGACACGATGTTTCTTTTACTTCTCTTTCTTTCTTGGTAACCAATGCAGTCAGCAATTGGTTTATTACTCATTTTAAATAGCGCTTAGGCGCAGCTACAAACAAAAAAGGTGCATTAACTAATTAGCTGAAGAGTGGAAGCAGTCGGCAGCAGCAGCCGGATGCAGCTGTCCTGCTTCCAGCCTTTTTCGTTTACGACCAGAGCTTGAGATGTGCACGCTTGGCGTATGATTTCCAGTCGGCGTGAGCATAGAACTCCTTGAATATGGGTGTAACTAGTGTGTCCTCGGGCAGTGTCTTAAAGATGGGCTCACCATACCAGGTGCCCACCTGGCAAAGAGAATGGAGAATACAATAAACGACCCGTGATTTGTCTCTGAGATGCTCTTACCTCCCAGCCGGGCACGTTCTTCATGAGTTCAGCCTCCTCGTCACGATTGCGGCGCAGTTGGCGCAAAAATTCGCGATCACGCTCCGCTATCAACAGCGGAAAGATAACGTTCTGGGCCGAGCGCATCTCAATCTCGTCGCGCCTAACCTTTTTGGCTGTCAAATAATAGATGCCCAGACCGACAGCGGTGACGGCCACATAGGTGCCAATCATGGTGAAGCCTGCGTTGCATAGAAATGGAATCAGTTTTAATGCTAATAATTATGGACAACAGCTGTTTGAATGCACCTGTGAAATAGCTCTTGGGCGGCACACGAGCAAAGGGTATCTTCTTGTAGCCACCGGGCGGTGGTAGATCCTGTTTGGGGGGCACATGCGGCACGGCCGTCGCCATGTTGGCTGCTGCAATGTTGTGGAATGCATGGTAATGGCATGTGTCCAACTATGGCTGTATATAAATCAAATTCGACTTACGCTTTGATAATTAGTTGAAAAATACGAAATTGCCAGCTAAAAATTCAAGACGCCTTTTGCATAACACGCAGCGCAATGTGACCACAACTGACAACCAACAAAATACCAAAATCGTAATCAAAAATGTGCAAGTGCTCAACTGAATAACTTGATGGGAAGCGTCTTTTCTAATTTTGCTCAACTGTCTGCCAGTCTGCCGAACAGTTTGTGTTCGGTTTTAATAATTAACATTGCCAATGTCTGCCATAAGCCAAGTTGACAGCTTTAAAATGTCAATATTTTAAATACTGAATCAGTAACTAAATTGTTAGCTGTCAACTAATTAGAAATTCTGGCAGCTCTGACAGCTGACTGCATCAGATTAAACTGTGCCACAATTAATTAGTTCAAATTTTTCAAATTTGTGTGCTCGAAATATAATTTATTTCATTTGAATATAATATTCATATTAATATGGCGCTACTGCATAAACTGGTTGCTGTCAATCGGTCCATAATGTTCTGGCATCAAAGTCGCTGCATTAAAAGTAGTGCCTTGCCATCTAATCCGGACTTTAAAAAGGAGATGTCTGAAGCGCAGATAAAACCAATTGAAATACGAAAGGACGACAGCGAAACAAATATGGGACGGGTGAGTGACTATTGTTAGTAGAAATGGATTCAAACATTGCGCGGTTGCCGAAAGGTAAACTGCCTTTTATCAGCTGGGTGCTGTGTGGGTGGTAGAGCAATTGTTTTTGGTATTTTCATTGTTATCGATTATTGCGAATAACATACTTGCTCAGTTAAATAACCAAATGTTGCATTAAATGCAATACGCAAACAAACCAGCAATTGGTAATTGTTGCTTAAACGCTTTGACAATCGCTTAAAGTTAATTATATTGGTTTTAGCTCTCCTATTGTTAGCGATATGCAGATATAATCTAAATGTATCGATAGTTGCTGCAAACACCAACGACAAGAACAATCGACGGATAGCAACTGAAAGGCAGCCAACGATTCGAATTCGAATAATATTTTTACATTCAGTTGCCGCGCAGCTGCCGTATAGGAAGGGAGAGTAGGAAACATTTTTCGCTCGCCAAACAAACGACACAAGAAAAGAACATTTCCAAATTCTTCACTGGGGGAAAGCAATTTTTTTCTGTGTGTGTGCGTGTTAGTGTTCAATATTTAACACAGCGTTTGAGTTGCTTCTCAAAACTATCAGCCAAATTAGCATAAATCATGTCGATCTTTCGCATTTCTGCAAGTAAAATTGTCGAAGCACAGGTGAGTTACAAACGACGCCCCCACCCCAACCCTATGCATTAACTGTTACTCTGAATGCTAAACAATTTTCACGCAATGTTTTTGTTGCTAAAGGATCTTTATACTTAAGCGTGGCTTGACAGCGGCGCACACACACACACGCACACAGAACACGCTCTCACAGTACGCGCTTGTATGTGCTTCTTTGTGTGCGTGTGTGTGTGTGTGTGTACGCGCGCGTTGTTGTTGGCAAGGGCAACGTCACGCCAAAAACCCAGCCATGTGCTTGCGATTAAAAAAAAAAAAAAACTACTGAGCGCAAAAAATTGATTGCTGCTTGTCTCCAGCTGCCCCGCACAGCCCCATAATTAAACGCCCAAATAAAATACTAGGAGTTGTAAATGTATTGCTAGTATTTCGCTATGTGCTAATTTTCCGGCAGTAGTGATTACATAATCGCGCAGAATTTTCACTTGGCTAAAATAGCGAAGCGCGAATCTTCTTTATAAATAAAACTCTCACCAAACGCAGACGCAGTCGCCCTCGCTGTCGCTGTCGCAGTCGCAGTCGCAGCGAGCGTCGCTGTTTGAGTTTAATGAACTTCTTCTGCATTTACCAGCTGCATCTTTCCGTTGTGCCATTTATTTATTAAGTCTTTTTTGTTGTTTAATTTCCATAAACGTGTATCTGGCGTTTAATTTGGCTTAAAACCACGCGGCGTCTCTGGCCTTAGTCTTGTAATATTACAACAACAACAACAAACGACAGCGGCAGCAGCGCCGCTCTCAAAAAGAGCGGCTCTCAGCAAGAGTGTTGCCAGAAATTAAAAAGCAAAAAATGCTAAAATCGATTAACAAATTTATTTGCACTAAATTATTAGTATTAGCCTGCAATTCGTTAACAACATTTTTGTTTATAAATTTGTGTGACTTGCAAACATTTTAAAATAATTACCCATCAATTAGGGCTTAAAATAAATGAATAGCCCAATTTCTGCCAATAGCGAAACCCAGCTAAAAGAGCTAAAACTAGCTACAAAATAGCTTAAATAGCAACACTTCACTCAGGTAGCTGAGTCGGTACGCTCTCTGCTGCTGTTGCTATGCCTCTCTCGTATGCGCTCTCTTCATTTACAAAGCGCGTCACGTTGTTGTTGTTGTTGCCGCTGCTGCTGCTGCTGCTGACGCTGCCGTTAGCTGCTCTTCTCTGCATATGCGAGGCGCTGTTTTTGTTGCCAAAAGTATTTTCTGCATTTGTTATTGCTTTTGCTACTGATCCGAGGACAGCGCCAAGAAAATTGTCCGCCGAACGACCTTTAAGAAATAAACGCAGCCCCTTCCCGCCCAACGCTAACGCAGCCTGCAAACAAAAAAAAAAAAACAAAGAATGAAATACGTAAAATTAATCGCCACGTATGTGCACAACATACGTACGTGTGTTGTGTGGATTATGTAATATCGAAAAATCAGCACACAAGTGTATGCATATATTTTTTGTTTTCAATCGAAAAATCAATACATATCCCCGGGCACACACACACACACACACACACACACACATACACACACAAGCGGCTCACAGGACGAGCCTCCTTTTGTTGCCTTTTTGGATTTTTTTTTGTTATTGGCACCGTCGAGAGTGCGTGAGAGCGCGAGTGCGGAGAGAGAGAGTGAGAGAGTGAGAGGAGAGAGCCGGAACGGGCTACAGAGCAGGAGAGAGGCATGCAGATAATGAGCAAATGAATGTGACGCAAACAATTTTCGATGCGTAATACAAAAAGTTAAATAATCTATTTTGCGCTTTCTAAATGGTTATGCATACGCCCGCTCTGTGGCTATTTGAACAATTGGCATGGCGCCAAAAAGAACGCGAAGCAACAGCAAACGTCCTTCGCGCCATTGTTGCTATCGTTGCTATAAATATATAAATATGTAGGTAAAAGGGCTTGATATTTGCATTGCATTCTCTTCCGGTCTAACATTACAAGTAGAACACTCTCGGGCCTGCAAAATGCCAACTATATACACACATACAAATACATTACATATAAACAACATCATAGCAGCAGCAGCAGCAGCAGCAGCAGCAACAACAAATGACACGCAAGGCCTTTAGGCAGCGCTAGCATTTGACGTCCGGCCAACTTAATAACAAACACGCGAAATTTTTTATCGCCCAGACGCTAATACGTCACGATACGTGACCAGCGCTTACGTAAAAGTTGGTCGCTTCGCGTAGCGTCTCTGCCCTTTTGGCAAATGCGTGTGTGTGTGTGTGTGTGTTTGTGTTCTCTCTCTTCTTTTGCGGGTGGAAGTGAGCACATTCCTCAGAGGCTGCGTTTTGTCGCTCTTAACAGCTGATCGGACGATTGCATAAGAAGAATGTCATTCATTTGTACCCAATGCGAATTCGCAATACACAAGCGAATTGAAAAAGAGTTTAGCTAAAATACAAATTGTTAACAGCACATCAATTTAAATTTAGCATTATATTATATGCTACTATATAATAAATTATTAAATTTATGGCGCCTAATCTTTGATAGCTTGCGGCCAATCTTGAGTGGCACTTTTTTGTTTTTTGTTTTTTTTTTTATTTATTTTTTTGAGAGTGCCCACCTGCAAGCTCTCTGCGGATATTTAAAGTTTTATGCTCGCTTGGGCTGATAACAATGGATGGCGTCATGGAAACTTTGTATGGTAATGAAATTGTCGCCAGTGATAAGGTTAAAAACGTTGCTAGATTTGCTGATCATGTGACTTTGTGGAATCGGGCGGAACAGAGTTGGGCAGCGTCCCATTAAAACTGCACTCTCATTGGGTGTTGCCTTTACGCGGTATATCAACATTTGCCAGGCATTGTACCGCTAATGCGGCCCCATCTAACGGTGCTTAACTGATAAGCATGACAAATTTGTGTGGGGGGCACATGATCGAGATCGAAATCGACGTCTGCTGATAGCAGAATAACAAAAAAAAAATTATAAATTGAAATTGTTAGAAGCGGTGTTAATTTAATTAGTTCTATCCATATAAACGAACAAACCGCATAATATTTATAGAGCGGAATGCGATACCCATCCCTAACACACACAGTTCAAATATTTACATAGCTTTTGCCTTGCTAATGAAGAGATTGACGATTGAGACAGTTGCGAAAACACGGCGCAAGAGAGCAAAGCAAGCTAATTAGCTGAGCGACGCGACGATGAGAGCACAGCCTAGGTGCGAGCGAGATAGCCGAATGGCTAGCTGGTACTTTTGAGTGATTGATGAGAGTCGCCTGTGATTGACACAAAACAACTGACGGAACATTGAACCAGCCAGCGATGTTTCGAACGCATGCATGTGCTTCCCCCTTTTCCGCCGCCTGGAAACTGTGTCGCAATTAAAAAGCTGACTCAGAACGTCTCTCATCAGAGATTTTGTTGGGTGGCCAGAAATCCCAGCGGTACCGATCGGCACCGACGTCTGGTTACGTCATCCGCTTTTGGAACGGCGCTTATATTTATACTTAATCTCTCCGATTAGGCTCCAAACAAAGGGATGCAATGAATTGCGTATAACTCAGGCAATTACTAAATTGCGAGTAGTAAAAAAAAGAAAAAAAATTAATGACCAACAGACGAATGAGGCAGACAATTGAAATCGTCACGCAAGCCAGAAACGAGAGCGAAAACTTACCGTTACAGCGAGAGAGAGAGAGAGAGAGAGAGAGAGGGAGAGGAGATAAATGTGCCAAGTCACGGTCAGCCGCAGAAACTACTCAATTTGGACACACTTCGACTGCAGCTTGCAACTCTCTTGTTCACCTTGGTGCCAAAACCAAGAAAACAAAAAACAAAAAAAAAAACCTCTCTCGAATAGAGAATTGTAAATTGTGAAGGTCGACACTTAGACGATTGTAAAAACGTATTGTTTATGGATCTGTCATGCCAGTCGTAATTGCACTTGGATTAAAATGCTCGGTTAATTACAAAAAATAAATAAGGGGGCTAAATTAAATGCTATCCGATTGATTGAATGCTTATGCAACACATTGTTGCAGATCGCGACTTTAATCTCCAGCTGCCTGCGGCCAACACGCGACCATATGATCACATACATGCATGCATATGTGTGTGCAAGCAGCATATAAGAAAATAATATATATATGTATATGTACATAGTATAATATATAAGCGATAAGTTGGGGCGCGCGTGAAACCGTTGCGCGGACCTTCAAATTTTGAAACGCTTATCAGCGGTGGGGCGCTGGCGCAGCCCCCCCCCCCCCCTCTTCCTGTCCCAGCATACCTATACCAGAAGGCAGACGGCCGCCCGTGAAACTAATCTGATTATTTTTATGACTTTTACACATTGTGTGCGTGTGTGTGTGTGTGTGCATACAACAAAAGGCAATAAGATAACGGATTCGCCAAGGAAGCCAAGCGAACGTGCGTGGGCCCCTCCCCCCCCCCCCCCCCCCCCCCCATTTGTTATGCAACAAAATGCCACTGAACTGAGTCCAATTAAGCATGCATGATGTGTCATCTTTGTAAGGGTTTCTTTTCGCAATGTGACGTATGTATCGTGTGTGGGACTCACGAACGCCAATGTTATGCAAGCGCTACTCAACTCTCTCTCTCTCTCTCTCTCTCTCTCTCTGTTGCTCACAGGCTCTGCATGTTTGTCTGCTTTTTGGCACATGATTAGCCGATTCAAGCAAACAACGACAGCTCAATTAGCACCTGCTTGATGCTGGCGTCGCGGTCGCTGTCGCTGTCGACGTCGACGTCGCTTTTGCGGTTTGTGCACCTAACAAAACGGCATTTGGTTATATTTTGCGGCAATTGGCTCAAATTGCATTTGTTGTTGCTGGTCACTCTGCATTTACAATAATCAGTATTATGTTACTATCTGGTCACACGATAATTTTCAACGTATAAACCTTCACTCTGTTTGTGTTTTATGGAAAAAAGGATTCTACCTTTTAATTTGATTATCGTATTGTCTTGCGTAGCATCGATAATCAATGCAAGACGTATGCGTAAATTATTACACAATTTTATCAATGAAATCGCGCTTTTGGGGCCGGTCCAGCCACAACCGGTTTGTGTGTGTGTGTGTGTGCTTGTTTTTGTGCACACACAAATCAATATCGATATGCATAAAAGAAGGCAAACCGAGCTCTCACACACACTCACACACACACACACACACATTCACAGCAGCAGCAGCAGGCATGCAATTCAATTTGCAAGCGAATCCGCCGCTTGGCGGCGCCACAAGTTCACATGGTTAATTGAATTTGCTGACCCACTAGCCGCAAAAAAAAAAAAGCAACAAGCGAGGTAGGAAGAGAGAGAAAGAGAGAGTGAACGAAAGATCGAGAGACTGTCAATCAAAGCAAAATTGCACTTTGCGCTTGAGCTTGGATTCCGTTTTCATTTCCATTTCGTTTCGTCGGGCCAAACGACACGCGCGTGGCAACAGCAACAAAATGCTGGTCCAAAAAAACAATAAAAAAAAAACGAAAACACAAAACAAAACAAAAAATAGCAAAAAAAAAACTAGCTGTAACCGGACTGGCGGATCTGTTTCTACACGCCAACGGTCTAACCTGCATTGAACTTTGCGAGTAACGCGCGCTTTTGTTGAAGTTTTTTAGTTGCTCTTTTTTTTTTGCGTAAATTATGCAACAACAACAAAGAACTGCAGCCCCTGCGGCAGTGTCGAAACGGCGCTGAGTCATGAGAATGAAGCTGAGCTCGGGCGGCTACAATCGTAGCTCTGCTCTGCTCTGCTTATCAACAAATGTGGTGTGTCTCTCTCAAGCGTGTCTAGGGATTGGCGCAGCTTATCAATCATATTGGAATTCAGCGTAATTTTACGCGCAATTGCCCCTTGAAGTGCAGCTCAATGACAGCCCATTGGATTGGCACATCTCGGGCAGATTGTGTTATCGATAAACCGAATCAAGTACGGACATCAATTAGCCAAAATGTTGCAGCATACTATCCTTGATGTTAAAGAGCAGCCATGCGCTAGTGTTGCCCACTTTTGGCAGGAAATGAAAGCCTAGCGAAAGCACAAATTTAGCAGAAGGAAACATTGCTGAAATACACACCCACACACACACACACACACACACACACACATCTACACACACATCTACACACAGTAATGTGAAGAAATATAATTAATTTGATTTGCATTGTTACCTATCCTTATAGAAAGTTCCGGCTATTGGAGCTTATGTGCGTCAAATAGCTTCTGAAACCCGCACCCTGCGCGAAGTGCTAGCTTGCAAAATCCCAGAGGAGCAGGAGCGTATTAAGGCATTCAGGAAGCAGCATGGTGGCACAAAGATGGGTGAGACAACCATCGATATGATGTACGGTGGCATGCGCGGCATCAAGGCATTGGTCACCGAGACCTCTGTGCTGGATCCCGATGAAGGTATTCGGTTCCGTGGCCTATCCATTCCCGAATGCCAGAAGGTGCTGCCCGCCGCTGAGGGCGGCAGCGAGCCACTGCCGGAGGGCCTATTCTGGCTGCTGATGACTGGCGATGTGCCCAGCAAGGAACAGGTACAGCAATTGTCCTGCGAATGGGCCGATCGCGCCGCACTGCCCCAGCATGTGGTTAACCTGCTGAACTGTATGCCCACCACACTGCATCCGATGTCCCAGCTGTCGGCTGCCGTTGTTGCCCTCAATCATGACAGCAAATTCGCCAAGGCCTACTCTGAGGGTGTGCACAAGACCAAGTACTGGGAATATGCGTATGAGGACAGCATGGATTTGATTGCTAAACTGCCAGTGGTTGCTGCCACAATTTATTGCAATACCTATCGCGAAGGCAAGGGCTCCCGTTCGATTGACTCGAGCCTGGATTGGTCGGCAAATTTTGTGAAAATGCTCGGATATGATTCTCCCGAATTCACAGAGCTCATGCGTCTCTATCTAACCATTCACAGTGATCACGAGGGTGGCAATGTGTCCGCTCATACTGTACATTTGGTAGGCTCAGCTCTCAGCGATCCCTATCTGTCTTTTGCTGCCGGCATGAATGGTTTAGCTGGTCCTCTGCACGGCTTGGCCAACCAAGAGGTGCTTGTTTGGCTGCGTAAACTGCAAAAGGAGGCTGGCAACAATCCGTCGGAGGATCAGCTGAAGGATTACATCTGGAAGACTCTGAAATCCGGACAGGTGCGTCAATCAACATATAAACTAATATATAAATAATTGATTTTCTTTGTTATACAAACAAAAAAAAAAAAAAAACAAACAAACAACAAAATAGGTTGTCCCTGGCTATGGTCACGCTGTGCTACGCAAGACCGATCCTCGTTATACCTGCCAACGTGAGTTTGCCCTTAAGCATCTGCCCGATGACGAGCTGTTCCAGCTGGTATCAAAAATTTACACCGTGGTGCCGCCAATTCTAACTGAACTTGGCAAGGTGAAGAACCCCTGGCCCAATGTTGATGCCCATTCGGGTGTTCTGCTGCAATATTATGGCATGAACGAGATGAACTACTACACTGTGCTGTTCGGTGTCTCCCGTGCTCTCGGCGTGCTCGCCTCCCTTGTTTGGGATCGTGCTCTTGGCCTGCCCATCGAGCGCCCCAAATCCTTGTCCACCGACGCGCTCATTAAAATGGTGAAGAAGTAAGCCTAACACAGCGATTCAAGGATGGACAGACTGCATTTTCTAATGCAGCCAAAAGTGGCAGGGAGGATGGGAGCAAGTTCTAAAAATGTAGCAAGCAACGGATAAGAACACAAAAAAGAAACAACAACAACAAAAAATATTAATAATAAAAAAAAAAAAAAACAAAAGAAACCAATTAGAAACGAGAAGCTGAATATGTAGCAAGAGTAGCAGAGAGAATTAGAGAGACGACGGGATGGAATATTGACCGATAAATCACGAATATATAGGTACATATATATACGTAATGTATATATATATATTTATATATATATATAACGGACACGACAATGTTGATATTGCGCTAGTTTAGCCAAGTAGACCGAGCGTAGTAGAGAAACTGAAAATTGAACACAACCAAATAGGAAATCACAAGCAAAATAACAAAAACTGCAACCACAAAACAATAAGTTGGAAATAAGGCAAATTGATATATATAAATATATATTTAGTAGTTTAGCTAAATAATAAATAAATCATTTAATGAACAGCAATAGCAAAAATGAAATCACTTAAATATTATATGTGTAAGCGCTATTTATACCATATTAAGTTATATAAACGGGAGACAACTGTTGTTTGGCACATCAAAAACAATAACGCTATTATGTTCAGCATTTTTTCCCAATTATATCGTGTCCTCTTCAATATGCACAACACATATGCCCTACCCTTGACAACTGACAACTGCTTAACTACACTTTTAGCCAATATTATTTTGGAGGCGTTTGATACATTGACTTTACTTACCAAATTATCCATGCCCCCCCCCTCCGCCTAATATATATCAACTAACTTGATAAACAAATTTACTTTTAATTTACCCTTTAACTTTATAGTTTTTTTTTTTCATTTTACGTTTATTTTAAAACAATGGAAACATGTTGTTATTTTATGTAATTTATTGCAAACCAGTAAATATAATAACGAAAAATAAAATACATAGAAACAAGTGGAACGAAAAACCTCTAAAAAAAAAAATAAACTTAATAAAAAAAAAAAAAAAACAGAACAATAATATACAAAGAAATGCACTCAATTATTTTCATACTGACCGTATGGTTTGTCAATTTGAATTTGCGCGAAATACTGTGCAAATCGATTAAATGTGAGCTTTAGTGGTTGCACAGCTGCACGACTTATCGACGGGCCGCCGCAAATGCAGTACATCGATAACGCATGACATTTATCGATATAAGTTTGGTCTGGCCTTTCAGCTCTGCTGTGGCCGACGATTTGTGCACCGTGTTACATCATTTATAGACAAATTATAGTCAAATTAAACAAGCGCTGTCCCACGCAAAGTGACTGAGTAAACAATTTAGTTATAGTTTATAGAAATGTGCATGCAGTTGGCAATTTGGAGCGCGATTTCATAACAAACCAAGGAGCCCGAAAGCCAACATCAACGTGAACTTGCGGGCTGCGTGTTTTGGGTCGCGTTCGCCGGAAACATAAACACACGATGAGCGAAAGCAGTAATCAGGTTAGTTGCTGGTCAGGTATAACAGTGTTCAGCTCTCAATTTGAAGACGCAAAACGCGACAAACAAAATATATTATCATCAGCATATATATTTTTCGTTGATTACGATTGCAAACACATACACACATACAAACACACGCGCGCGCACACACGACATAAATAAACTGCGCCGTTGCAGCAGCATCTGTATGTGTGTGTGTGTCTTATTGGGTCTCTCTGTGTGTGTGTGTGTGTGTGCGTAAAAAGCACACAACATTTTAATTTTCGCATTTAGACTTTTTGTTTATTTTGTAACGCCTTTGAAGTCATATTTTGTTACGTTTGCCTTTTCTTTTCAGTTTAGTGCCATTGATTTTTGAGTATTTCAACCTAAAAAAAAAAAAAAAGAAAGAAAAAAAGAAAACAGTGAGAATCGGAAAAAATAACAAAACGAGAGTTAAAAGCAGCCAAAGCCGATACCGATATATCGATAACAATAACAGTACTTGAATCAACGTGCACCTTCTTATCGTTATCGTTTTGAAGTGAATTATTATTATTATTTTGTTGTTCTCGAGTTTTTGTTATTGCCAACAGAAAGCGGCTGGGGCTGGGGCAAGGGCATTGCACATAGGCTGCATACCTTTTGTTTTGTATCAAAATTCTCTCATTTAACAAATATAAAACGCAACCCAAACAAATGGCGGCCTACTTGAATCGCACCATTTCACTGGTGACTGGCCAAACGGGCCCCTCCGGCAACGATAAACACTCAACGGGCACGGACTCTGTTGACAATTCACGTCACGGTAATCTGTCACTGCAAACGTCCGCTTCGTCCACGTCGGCCAACATGACCGACAATCGCATGTATCAACCGAATGACAAATCGCCGCTGCAGATATTTGTGCGCGCCAAGAAGAAGATCAACGATATTTATGGTGAAATCGAGGAATATGTGCTGGAGACAACCACGTTCATCAATGGTAAGTCCTAGAGTCCTGGATACTCAATACCAAAATGCGATTGCTAAATATATAATTTTCATAATTTTCAGCTCTGCACGCGGACGCAGAGATTGTCGATAAGGCGGAACGTGAGCTATTCGAGAGCTATGTGTACAAGGTGGCTGCCATACGTGAGGTGCTGCAGCGGGATCACATGAAGGTCGCCTTCTTTGGACGCACCTCCAATGGCAAGAGCTCGGTGATCAATGCCATGTTGCGTGAAAAGATATTGCCCAGCGGCATTGGACATACAACAAACTGTTTCTGTCAGGTGGAGGGCAGCGACGGCGGCGAGGCCTACCTCATGAAGGAGGGCTCCGATGAGAAGCTTAACGTGGTGGTAACTATCTCGCAGCACAGATAACACCCACACAACTCATTCATATTGTTTTGTTTTTCTTTTTTTTTTGTGGCTTGGCAGAACATTAAACAATTGGCGAATGCTCTGTGCCAGGAGAAGCTCTGCGAGAGCAGTTTGGTGCGCATCTTTTGGCCACGCGAACGCTGCAGCCTGTTGCGTGACGATGTCGTCTTTGTGGACTCGCCGGGCGTTGATGTGTCAGCCAATTTGGATGATTGGATTGACAATCATTGTCTAAATGCGGACGTATTTGTCTTGGTACTGAATGCCGAATCGACAATGACGCGTGCCGAGAAGCAATTCTTTCACACCGTTTCACAGAAACTATCAAAGCCAAACATTTTTATATTGAACAATCGCTGGGATGCGTCAGCCAACGAGCCAGAGTTTCAGGAATCGGTAAGATCGATGCATATATTTATATATATATATTCAATTAGCTCTAGCTCTATTCTTATATTACGTAAGCCTATTTGTAAATGTTGTTTGTATATATTTTTTTTTTTTTATATATTACCTTTATTTACCTACACCCAATACCATATATACAAAATATGTAACAACGCCAGGATCTGGCTAAGGTAATGTTATCCCGATCCAGTTTCTGTAAAATGCGCTTTGTTGCCTGTATATTTTGTTTTGATTTGCGGCTCTATACGTAAATATGTCTTCGGTTTCGGTTGCGCCTGTAAATCGTTTACGAATGCGCCAGTTAAAGTTACAAATTAAATCCAAAGGCATATTTATGGTTAAAGTTTTGTGTTTTGTGCGAAATCGAATGCAATTCTGGCCAGAATCGAAAACTAATGCTGCTTCTTATGGCTGCTGGTGCTGCGTGCTCCTGTTATCCGATCTGCAGGTGAAATCGCAGCACACGGAACGCTGCGTCGATTTTCTCACCAAGGAGCTGAAGGTCAGCAATGAGAAGGAGGCCGGAGAGCGTGTATTCTTTGTGTCCGCACGCGAGACATTGCAGGCGCGCATCGAGGAGTCCAAGGGCAATCCGCCGCATTTGGGTGCCATTGCCGATGGCTTTCAGATACGCTACTTTGAGTTTCAGGATTTTGAGCGCAAATTCGAGGAGTGCATCTCGCAGAGCGCCGTCAAAACCAAATTCCAGCAGCATAGCTCGCGCGGCAAAAGCGTATCCGGTGACATGCGCTCCATGCTGGACAACATCTTTGAACGGATCACAATCTTTCGCAATCTGAAGCTGGATCAAAAGAACTTGCTCACCGAACGCATTCAAGGCACCGAGACGCAAATGATGCAGGTGACGCGCGAAATGAAAATGAAAATTCACAATATGGTCGAGGAGGTGGAGGAGAAGGTATCCAAGGCACTCAACGAGGAAATCTGGCGGCTCGGCGTTCTCATTGATGAGTTCAATATGCCCTTCCATCCGGAGCGTCTGGTGCTCAACATCTATAAGAAGGAGCTGAACGCTCATGTCGAGAGCGGCCTGGGCAGCAATCTGCGCGCTCGTCTCTCCATGGCGCTGGCCATGAACGTGGAGGCGGCCCAAAATGAGATGACCGATCGAATGCACGCTCTGGTGCCAAATGAGCAGCTGGCCACGAATAGCGCCAAATTGGCGGTGCGTACGCAACCCTTCGAGATGCTCTACTCATTGAATTGCCAGAATTTGTGCGCCGACTTTCAGGAGGATCTCGAGTTCAAGTTCAGCTGGGGCATTACGGCCATGATACAACGGTTCACGGGCAAGGTGCGTGAACGCAGCAAAAAGCAGCATACGCCCGCATTGGTGAATCGCCAGAGCAGTATTGGGGTAAGCCAGTCCGAGCATAGCCCAAATTGAGTCCATTTAACAAACGCCGGATTCCAAACGTCTGCTGTTACATTTCAGCATACTGTTGTTACGCCCGTCAGCACGCCCGTGGAGACAACGCCCGTTTGCCTGCTGCCCGCGCCCGGCGTTGGCGGCATTACGCCCGAACAGCTATCGGTTATATCGCGCTTTGCCATGTCCTCGATTGGTTCGCAGGGCACCGTTGGCGGTCTCGTTGTTGCCGGCATTGTAAGTATGGTTGGTGTGCTGTGCCCTGATTATATTCACCGGCTGCCTAGCAGGTGCTATTATATCGCTATGTGCTGAAAACCGAACACTTGCAGATGCTGAAAACGATCGGCTGGCGCGTTCTTGTTGGCATTGGTGCCCTCTACGGCTGCATCTATCTGTATGAGCGCCTGTCGTGGACCAACTCGGCCAAGGAGCGCGCCTTTAAGGGCCAATACGGGCGACATGCCACCAAAAAGCTAAAAATGATTGTGGACCTAACATCGGCCAATTGCAGCCACCAGGTGCAGCAGTAAGTGGACGACTCTCATTGAATACACTCTGGCATCATTTATATATACACATATATATATATATATATATAAATCTATTTCACATCAGGGAGCTGTCGAGCACATTTGCGCGCCTGTGCCGCACCGTGGACACCGCCACCACCGATATGAACGAGGAGCTAAAAACGCTGGAGGCACAGCTCAACGTGCTGGAGGCGAATCAGAAGCAGCTCAAGCTCTTGCGCAACAAGGCCAACTATATACAGAACGAGCTGGACATATTTGAGCACAACTATATTGCGCCGCAGTAGTAGTTGATGCAGCTGTTACGGATGCACTGCATCATGGAAGCCTTAAACGGAACAGCACGACGACAACAACAACAACGACAACAACAACAACAACTTTCCCCATTAAACAAAACGAAACAAAACAAAAATGAAAGATCTTGCAATTGTTGAAATTAGTTTTTGTTTTTTTGTTTTATTTTTTTTTTTTTGTTTTTTTTTTTTTTTTAAGGAATTATTTTGCCCAAATTGTTAACGCATGTGTTTTAGTTTGTATTCGCATTTTTTTTAAACAACTTTGCAGCTATTTTTAGTTGTTGTTTGCCGCAGACAAACTTTGTAATTCTTAACAATGATTCTTGCTCTTTTTTCTCCTCTTTTTCTCTTCCATTTTTTTTTTTTTTTTTTTTATATATACATATACGAATATATTGTAATTGTTGTTGTTACACTCTGCATACACTGTGACATGGCCGGGCGCCATGAAAACAAAAACAAAAACAAAAACAAAATTATATAATTATATCGAACACATTATTATATTGAATAGTCATTGTTTATTATTGCGTACAGCTAAAAGTGTTAATAGAATACGACAATTTACGATATTGTTTATAAACAAAGTTTTATATTTGGATTCCCCATCTCTGTACGTTAAAAGCAAATTGTAAAATAACTGGCACAAATAGCTGCAGCTGTTAAATAAACAATTCTTTTTGTTTATAAACATAGTGTGCGTGAAAGAGACAGCCTGCTGCTGCGTCCGTGTTCAGCCATCGATTATTTGCATAATTATCGCAAAATTGTAATTGTTTTTTTTTTTTTTTTGTTAAATTAACTAATGTACTGCCAAATTGGCAATTTATTTATTGTAGATTCATCTTGCATAACGCTGTTGCAAATATTTTTTGCCAACATGTAATTCCTGACTTGGCTTTAGATTGTTCTTATACCCTGTAAAATGCAAAATGTATGCAACACGCAGTAGGATGCAGCTCCGAGTCGATCTAGCCTTGTCTAAACATGTCTGTCTGTCCGTCCGTCTGCCCGTCCGTCCAGCCGTCTATCTGTCCGTCCGTCTGTCTGTCTGTCTATCTGTCTGTCTGTCCGTCTGCCTGTCTGTCCGCCCGTCTGTTTGCCTGTCCGTCCGTCTGTTTAAACACAAGGATCTGAGAACTTCGAAGAGCTAGAGACTTTAAGTTTAGTTGTAGGTCCTCCTAGTCCATGCGCAGATCGTGTTTGTTTCCGATATTCTAGAAAATTATATAGATTTGCATTTGGTGTGTGTTCAGAGTATCACCCATTCGGGAGCTCCCGACTAGAGCCTCATACTTGTTAGTTTTGTAATTCCCTCCAAAGTTTCTTATGGAAGCCAAGCGATAGAGATGTCCGATTTGATGCGTTTCTGTGCAGTTCATAGATCCAGAATTCTTGAGTTGTTTACAGAAATGTAAATCTTTGGACTCCTTCTGGCCATATAACTATAACTATAATATAACTATATTCTCATATATATCGTAGATAGTTTTATATATGTACTTTATTGTTGTCCGATAGTTGATCGTTCGTTACATAAAGCCTAGAATCTGCGCGTGTTTGCTTTCCATTTAATATAATATAATATAAGCAAAAGGTATTCTCTTTACTGAAAATTTGGTCCTTTGTATTGTGCATTAGATCCTTGATCAAGCATTATCAATGAATTCTCCGCTCATAAATTATATTTAAGTTTTTATGCCCTGCACAAAAGAAAATTCTTCTACTAGTTTTAAGATTTGGCAATTCTCGGGGCACCTTTAAATTTGAACTAATTATCGATTAGTCCCTCCCAAAATATATTATAAGCTTTGTGGGAATCGGTTTTTGGGCTCCAAATATTTTCAGTTCATGTTGTGCAAAGTGTTCCGTGCCTAGCTCGGCAAGTACTATGATTATGATATTGATCAAAGATCGCATATAAATAATAATAATTAAAATAGAAACGCAGCTGAGACGATTTCCTTTCTATCAGCACATTCAACAAAAACCGAACAAACGAATCATATGCGGTTTGCGATCTATATTTTGTACTTGGCATAAAAGCTATTAAACATTTAGTTAATTTGTGGGCCAGCAAGTAAAGTCTGCCCGACAACAATTCGAATCGGAAACAAACAGTATTAATTAATAGCTAAATACAGGCAATTTTATAAACGTTCGTTTTTTTTTTTTTTGTTTTGTTTTAAATCTCTACAAGAACTTTCACTTAATTAATTTTAAGAAAAAGAAATGCATTTACAAGTTGTCTTTTGCTTTTATGGGTTTTCCTTTTGAACGGGACGCTGCTGATTCGGTTTGCTCTTGTGCCACACAAGCAAAAAGATGGAAAATAATTAAAATATATATATATATATATATATATATATGTATATTAAGTGATATTTGTTAAACGAATAGTTAATATATATGTATATATATATATATATATAAATAACGGCTGTATAACCGGAAACAAAATACAAGGTTGAACAAATCTTTTGAGCATAATTATGAATACAATCCTCTCTCTCTCTAAGTGCTGAATTATGGTGTTTACAAGCTTGTGTGTGCATAGGTATTGTGTATGTGTGTGTGTGTGCATAGGTATTGTGTATGTGTGTGTGTGTGTGTGTGTGTGTGTGTGTTATTGTTTTGGTTTCTCTGCTGGCGTCGGCCGATTTCGCGGCTATTGAATTGAATCTATTTGGTCGCTGGCAGTGCGAATGTCAGTCGACTGGCAGCGGCGGGCGGACGTGGCGGTAATTTGTTGCATGGTTTTGATTGTGATGCTTGCGAGCTTTACAAGAAATAAGGCGTCGTATTCTGTTTGGGTATGACACGCTCCGAGTCTGGCACGGCCAGAAAGATTTGCGTTTGCCTCTGTTTCGCCGTATCGAAGCTGAGTATGGCCGCCACATTGCCACAACGATAGCAATAGTTGGGCGCGGACCAAACGGTGACCAGTTTGCCCTCAAACATATACTTGATGCCCTCGTTGACCAGCTGGTGTGCTCGACATATCAAGTCCAGATTGTTGATGGTCATAAAGTCTTTGGTCACATTATGGCCAAACAGCCAGCCAGCGCCACGCGGACTCTGGCCCCTAAAAGACAGATGGATTATTAGCCGAACCAAAGGAGGTTAATTGCCCTCAACCAGGATGAGTAACGTTCATTGTGGCGTGACTCTTTTTGAAACTGGATCTACAGAGTTCGGCTAAGGTCACACAACCACCCTCAATGGCATTACTCATCCTGGTATTTGTATTTGAAGGGTTTTTGAGCATTCACCAGTATTCCATGTCCTCCGGGTCGGACCAGACCAGATCACAGAAGGCGCCCTTATAGGGTATCTCACCATTGCGCTCGATTGTTCGTATTTGATCTAGCGTTATAATCTCCGGACTGAGACCGCCGTGCACGCACAGCACGCTCTCGTCAATGATCTGAGAATGTGATGCGAAAGCAGGCGGAGATTAGTTTTTGTTGTGTGTGTTTGTGTGTGTGTGTGTGTGTGGAGTACGTACCGCAGCAATTGTGAGCAAATCGAATACCTTGCAACAGTATTTCCAGCCATTCGCATTGCCATATTTGCTAAAGCATTCGTCAAAGAAACCATAAACCTTTGTTATCTGGCGCGTCTCGTGGTTGCCCCGCAGCAATGTTATGCGGCTGGGATAGCGGGCCTTGAGGGTCAGCAGACGTGTGAATGTCTCCAGGCTGTAATAGCCCCGATCAACAAAATCGCCCATGAATATGTAATTCGTGTCGGGCACCTGGCCGCCAGTTCGAAATAGCTGCTCCAGATCATAGAACTGTAAGCGAAATGTGCGATTAGTTTAGGCATTGTGTGATAATAACAACATTTGTTTTGCAGTTCGGTTGCCATTAATAGCAGTGTGACCGTGTATGCCATCATTGCCCATTCACCTGGCCGTGTATGTCGCCACATACTGTGACGGGCGTGCTAACTGGCTGTATGTTTGTCTCCTCCAACAGTATGTCGCAGACCATATCACAGAGTTTTTTCAATTCATTTTCGGGCAAATATTTGCAATCCTTAACAATCTCTATCCATTTGTCGACATCACCCATTATTATTCCTCGGTTTTGTGCAGCGCACCCAAAGCCAGTTGATAAAGTTATTGGAAAAACGCAACAAAATCCGCAAAACAGTAAAATACCAAGCCGAAACGATAAACATAACTATCGATAACGATAGGCGAATGTAATGTGCTGTTCGCTGCGCGACAGTCGCATCCAACAAATGCACTAAAATTGGACAGCGCGAAAAAATACTATCGATATGTTAACGAAATATATAGCATGCTGTTAACAGAGCTTCTGTTAAATGCATTCGAATCTAGCATTTGGCGCGAATTCAAAATGATTCAAATACATAACTTACATATTTCTTTGAGCTATGAGCTATCATGTTAAATAAGTTTGTGAAAATGCTCTAGTGCATAATACTAAAAGATTATTGCTGCTTTTGTTTTCTCAAACTAAGCTTTCTTTTTTCTTTTTCTTCTTTTGCCGTGGTTTGTTATCTGGCCACCCTTTTTTTTTTTTTTTTTTGTCGGTTGTTGTTTGTCTTACGGCTTTTAGCACAAAATTAGTTGTAATTAGCTTTTGCTTAAAGCAAATCATAATTAGCAGCCAGCACTGGGACCAAAAAGCCCGAGTTGAGGCCAACGTTGCCACGATTCCAGCTCTCGCCCCTCCTCCTACTTGGCTTACTCCTTGATGCCGGGCTTTGTTTTGCAGCGTATAGAAATAATCACGCTTTTAAATTTTATTGCTGTGGCGCGAGCTGCTTGTTGAATTTCTGTGCATCTGTGTGCGTGCGTGCGTGTGTGTGTGTGTGTGTGTGTGTGTGTGCTTTGTGTCAGCGGGGCAGAAACATGCTGGCATCTTGTTGTCTGGGGAATGGCGGTTGAGCGGGTTAAGCGGGTCGCGGGTCACGGGTCATGGGTCGCCTGTCGCCTGTCGCAGGTCCTCAGTCGGCCTGCCGGCGTGGAGTCGAGCTCGGTAAGCTCGGGTGTTTAGAGAGTCTCATTAGTGACGCGCGCGCGGTTTTTCGCTGGGCAACTTATTTGTATTGTTTTGTTGTTGCTCTTCTTTTTCTACTTCTTCTTCCACCCCCCCCCCCCTGCCTGCCATCAAATTGGATTTAACAGAGGCGCAGGCGAGCGCAAGGGGTAAGGGGCAGCTGCCAGTGTTACCAGTCTAAGCCATCAAAAAAAAAAACTAGCAACATTTTATTGTTTATATTCATTTATTGGGCATTAGCAGCTCAATTGGGCCATAATTCATATATGTAGAGAAATATGGTTGATTTCCCAGCGGAGATTTTTCATTAAAAAAAAAAAAAAAACAGCGTGTTTTCGCTAAAAGATTGACAGCTGAGCTGAGTTTAACGGTACTTATCCAGTGACTTTTCAACTTTAGCTTTTACTCCAACAGTGTTTTATACACTCCCCCCCCCCCCCCCCCCCCCCGCCCGTTCGACAAGCATTGCGTACTGCATCATTAGTACCGTTATTTTATGCTCTTGCGCTTACTGCTTTTCGCCATTTTCATGCGTCTTTTTTACTGCCTGCTTCGTTTCCGCATAGCTGTTGTTGTTGTTGTTCTGCTTCTTCTTCTTTGCCTGGCGCAATGTTGACAATTAAGTTCAACTTGTTTTCCCTACTTCGTTTCGTTTCGACAATTCTTCTTCGCCTGCTGTCTGTCTCTCACTCTCTCTCTCTCGCTCTCTTCCTCTGGCTCGCCACATGCGTGCGCTTTTCTATGTTCTGGCAGTTTTTAGCTAACTTCGCCCCTCCCTCGCACCCTCCTGGCCACCTGGCTTTGCTGATTATCAATGCTTTCGTCGTCTGCGGCTGACTCGGCCTGTGGCTCTGCTACTGATGTGGTTGATAATTATGTGTCCATGTCCACCCACTCGCCTCTCGCCACTCGCCATTTGGACATTGCTTTTCCTTTTTATACCCTGTAAACGGCAGTTGACAAAGGGTATATTGCAGTTGTGCAAAACTAATTGATAACATGCAGATTAAGGGAACTATAATCACACACACACACACACCAACAACAACTTTACATAGTTTAAAGTAGAGATAAGAAGAAGCAGAATAGATACAGTTAAGTGCTACGGTAAATGCCTGCGGCGTACAGCATATCTCTTAGTAAGGCCTCTCTTCTCTTCTCTTCTCTTGATTTTATTTTGTTTTTTTTTTTGTTTTTTTTTTTTGCATTGTTTGCGCCGTCACCGTTGGCCGCGTCGAACAGCCATTTGGCCGGCTTTCTTTTTATTGTTGACGTTTTGTTAACTTGTTTTTTCCTGTGAGCCAACCCGCCATCCGCCACCTCCCCCATTCGGCAACTGCCATTCAACACTCTTGCGTCTCTGCATAGTTCTTGCTGTCAACTTTTGGCAGCGGCTGCTGCTGCTCCTTGACTCTTGTTGTTGTCGCTTTTATTGTCGTCGAAAATTAAATAAAATTAATTACCGCGTGTGTTTGTACACACACGCACACGCGCACACACACACACACAGCATTAACACACAAGCTGCTGCTGCTCCGTTGTACATCTCGGCTACAGTTTGACAGTCACACGCCTTGATTCACGCGCGTGTGCGTTCACGTCGACGGCAACAAACAAGAGCAAGAGCCGCGCTGCCACGGTGGCATTTGTGCTACAATTTAACAGCTGGGCCGGCTCTTAAATCTGCAATTATTTGCTGCCCACTTTTATGAAAATAATACTTTTCCATTAAGTATTGAATGCAATCTATTTCTCTCTCTGTCGTTCGCTCAGTCTTGTTTTCCGCGATCCGTTACACGGTCAGCCGATTGGCTGTCAAGCCGACGACCGTGAGAGCATATTATTTCGTTGCTCTCTTTTCAGCGCCATATTTGCAGTACGCCGTCTGCTTTGTAGTGCGCTTTACCGTTGATCGTTGGCGTGTGCGCTCAATCAGTTGCTCTCTTTGTTGCTCTGCTCGCTCGCTGTGCTCCACTGTGCGGCAAATGGAAGAGCGTGTCAACGGCATCTTCATCATCATTATCAACGGTTAACAGGCGCGCGCGCTCCCGTCCAGCCAGGCAACAGAAACAACCTGTGGGTATAGCAAGGGTGTGGTTCGGTCGCCTTAAGGCACAATGTCGCCAGTCGATGGGTGTTGCTTCAAATTACGAGTGTACGCCAAATGCTGCCGGCTGCTGTTGACTGGCAGAGCCAAACATGTCCGCTCTCCCGCTCTCTGTCGCACTCTCTCGCTCTCACCGCTGCTTCGACAACCTTACCGCATCGCCATCATCTTTGCTCGCTGTCACTTACACGCACACACACGCACACACACACACACACACATGTATAGGCATGCTGGCGCAACAGCAGCAACAACAATTACGCTCTTTTCTGTATCGTTTCGTGCGTTCGCTTTGTTTTATTTATTTATTGCGTGCTTTTAACTTTGCGCCCACAACGGCACACCCGAAAACAGAGTTGTTGTTGTTTTCTTTTGTCATTACAACTACAACTATTGGTTTTTGTTGTTGTTCTTGTGGCCTTTTGACTTTTTAGTTGTTTGGCATTTGACTTTTTGCATTGCTCTGTATTGCTTGTTGTTGTTGTTGTTGTTGTTGCTGCTGCTTTTGTGCGAGCGAACGAGTCAAAAAGGCGAATGCGAAAAGAAACTGAATTGCGCGCGGGGTTGAGCTGCGGTGCCTGGCTACCAAATTGTTGTACATAGTTTACTGTGATAAAAACGGGAATAACAGCAAAGCAGATAAAATTAAATAGTGGCCAAAATAGACAAGCGCACCGAAATGGGCGTTGTGGGCGTGAACGTTGGACGACGGCGCGTTGTGTACAAAACGCTGAGCATATACCCATGGGCGCTGCAAGCTGGGGCGCGGGGCGTGGCAGCACGTACAAAAACTAATCGTTCAATTAATTTGGCGAATGAAAGGTAAGGAGACGCGCAAAGGGCAGGGCGTAGATGCCATTGTTTCGTTCACATTTACAAAACAAGCAGCATGCACAAAAAGTTAATGAAATAGCAAAAACACACACGAACAACAACAACAAAAGTAGCGACTGTGCGAACACCCTACCAGAGAATGTGTATCTTTCGTGTGATAGATTACAATGCAATTATGAGATATCAAATTATGTTTATGTAGATATAATATACCCGCTGCCATTTTTAATAAGGGGTATACAAGCATTGCTACCAAGTGAAGAGCATTCGCATAGTCGCATAATCAAATGGCGCTAGACAAAGCAACACACACACATACAGGCACATACAGACACATACGCTGTGAACGTAATGGGGCGTGGAGAGCTGAATAGCGTGGGAGAGGGGCAGGGTAAAGCGTAGCGTAAACCGCTGCTGCTGCTGCTGCTGCTGCTGTTGTTTAATTTCTTTTGAGCACAAAACAATTATCAATTAATGTAGCGTTATGTGCGTGTGCATTTCTGTGGGCATGTGTGCGTGTGCGTGTATATGTAAGAGCAATTGTGTGCGTGCAAATGAAATTTTTTAAGCTGACATTGTCACAGGGATGCTGTAGAATGGCAGCCAGACAGAAAGTATGCTTTAGATGGTGTGCTCGGAGAGAGGGGGGGGGGGGGGGGGGGGTAGGGTGTGGATGGCGAAAACGTAGGAGTAGCGGTTACTGGAATGAAGCGGGAGAGTGTGAATGTGTAGAGAGAGAGAGAGGGGGGGGGGTGCGCCAAATTTAGGTATATTTATTCGCTCTGCACAGTGTGTACACACATATTTATGATGTTACATATATGTTTAATGTAAAGCGTATTGCCGCCATTTAAGTAACAAAATGATTAACAGAGCTGACAACGCGTGCGACTGTGTGCGTGCGTGTGTGTGCGTGCGTGTCTGTGCGTGCGTATTACAGTAAATTTTGCGTAGCAGGCTGCTGTTTGTTGTTGCGCCCTTTGAGGCGTTTGCTTCATAATCAGCAGCAAATATAAGAAAAAGTAGCGGCGAATTGTGCAGACACTTGGCAAACTTGTTGACTGCAGCTGCAGTTGTTGTTGTTGCTGTCTTTGCACATGTTTCGCTGTTTACCGAACATCCATTTGGGCGCAAGTTTATGCGCCTGGGGTGTGTGCATGTTTGTGCATGTTTGTGCGTGCTTGTGCGGGTCAGGGATTTGTTTGACCAATAGATGAACCCACACTTAACGCTCGATCCCATCGCTTAGTGTTGACCTTTTCAGACATACACACATACATACATACATACACACATACATATTGCAGTGAAATGTGCCAACATTTGTAGTTATTAAAAACTTCTGGAATTCACTTTTGCAGCCAACGAGTAAATTCAAATGTTTTGTGCAGACAGTCGGAATAACCATAAATCACTTTCAGTTAGCAATATTAGTTAAAAAACTATTTTGTAACTAAAAAAGCACAATTATTCTATTTTTGGAAAAGGCTGCAGAAATAAATAATAAAAATATTCCTTTAACCTCGAAACGAAGCTTAACCTCATATTGTAGAAAAATTGATGAAAACTGAATTCGAGAATTTCATGTAAAATGCTGAAATATACGTGAAAACTTTCTGTTTTCATTAAATACAGGTATTTTGTACGAAGGTATATATGTATGTGTATTGTCTATGTGTGTGTGTGCAAATAGATATATATGTATGCATGCATGTTTGTTCTCTTATTCTGTAAACTCTTCAAGCTCTCGGCTTGCTGCAAAACCGAAAACGAAAAAAAAAATAAAAACGAAAAGAAGTATGTCTGTGCGCTCACTAATTCGCCTAGACGCAAATACACATGTACATATGTATGTAAAAATTCATCGATATTCGCGCACTCTCTGGCGCCTGTTCGAAAATGGGAGTTCGAAAGTGGACTTGTGCACAGGCGATCGCCGTCTTCGAAACACAGGAAGTCAGTTGGAAATCGTTGCCTAGCGGCTGACGACGTTAAAGCAGCTGCAGCTAGCTTTATCGCGCCATCATTTGCGACGAATAAAATCGGAGCGCAGTTTTCATTTTTTGTTTTTTAATAATATCTGTTGTTAACGCAGCTGTCGCGTAGTTAAGTCGCCTTAAGCGCATAATTTAACAAGTGCGGTTGTTAAGTGTTTCATTTGTTTTCTTCTATAACTGCGTTTTTTCGTTTGCTTTGCCCTTCGTACGCGTTTCGATGGCCTGTGTGCATTGCGCTCGCTCTCTCCTTCCATGCCTTGGATCGCCATATTGCCGGTGAGAGCCTAGTAGCCATCAAAAAGCAACGAAATCAGAGAGAGAGAGAGAGAGAGAGAGCCAAGCTGTTCGAGTGCCATCTTGTTTTTTTTTTTTACATTTTTTTTATTGTGCAATTCAAAGTGCATTTCTCTTACAGCAGATCAGCGCACATGAAATCAATGGAAGCGCTTTCGAAGATGGCATGGAAAGCACGTAAGTAAATTGAAACTCTTAAATAGGTATTCGCACTTAAGTTTATGATTTAAAGAGAGTGAAATAATAGACATAAATAAACCTTAGATATGAAATCAAGCAAAAGAATTATTTCAAATTTCACTCTCTCTATAGATATTATAATTTGTATATTAATATATTTGAACTTTGCTCAATTCCTTACGTAATTCGAGTTTACGTTTAGGCCAACTAATACATACAGAAAATAACTGTCAGTGTATATTGAATTTAAATTGAATATAAACTGTATTAATTATACATTTAAGAATTTGGCAGCTAACTTTGGCAAGGCTTCAACTAATTTGATTGTAACTAAATATTATTTTGCTGGCTTCATCATTTCATTTGTTTGTCCTTTGGCATTTAATCATTGCAACTAAACATTTTAAGAGGCTGCTGATTAGAATTGAAAATTCCAAAAATCACTTCAATGATAAATGCCAGATGCAATATTTGCGTAATTATTTAACTATTTTTGCAATTCAATCCGAAGTTGGACGGCCCCTTATACTGTCACCCCCTTCAGACAACCAATCCAATCCCAACCCCCCGCACCCCCCCCCCTGCCCAGCCCTTGCTTTCATTGTAATACTTTGGTATTAGTCGAATAATTATTAGGTTGACATTGCATTGGCTGCCCGCATAAATGAGGCAGCATAGATTGAAATTCAGTTTCATTTCATGATTTCAATTGTGAGCCCAATTTTTGGTTTTATTATATACCAAAGCCATCGGTGCCTGGGGGCGGGGCCAGGGAAATGGGGGGGGGGAGGGGTTGAGTTGTCAATGCAACATGCCAACACATTTTATTGCATTTGCATTATACCCTGTACGCATTAAGTTACTTAAAGGGGTATCATGTGGTTTATCAAGTCATGTAATAGTTGCGTCGAGTCGAGTGTTGTGAGTGATTGATTGGCTGATTGACTGACTGACTGTTTGATTGATTGACTAATTGATTGACTAATTGATTTAATGGCTAATTGACTGACTGACTGATTCACTGATTGATTGGCTGACTGATTGATTTATTGACTGATTGATTGACTAATTGATTTAATTTCTAATTGGCTGACTGATTTATTGTTTGATTGAATTATCTGCCTGCCTGTCAGGATGAGACTGACTGACTAATTAAATGATTGATCGATTGACTAACTGTCTGACTCACTGATTGATTTAATGGCTGATTGACTGTCTGATTGACTGACTGACTAATTAAATGATTGATCGACTGACTGATTGACTGACTTACTGATTGATTAAATGGCTGATTGACTGTCTGATTGCCTGTCTGATTGACTGACTGTCTTATTGTCGGACAGTTTGATTGACTAACTGATTGGTACAGCTCAAAGTACAGCTCAAACCGGAGGAACTAAAATATGAAATTTTATTTTTATTAATTTCACTCGCAAACGTGAAAAATTGGTGGAAACAGTTGATGTGACTTTCTAACCGTATCATTCGTTTGTTATTCAAATATTTGGCAAATCCAGCTCGGAATTGACACAGCATGTGCAGCAGGGTATGTTCTAGCACTGCAGACTCCTTCTTGACGAAAAGTGTATTTTATTTAATCTGTATTTGTGTATAATATCTGTTTGTATACCTTTGGAGTTATGCATGTTTTTATTGGGACATAGTCGAATGTGGGCGTGGTTCTTTATTTCTATTTTTCGAACCATGCAGTTTATTGATGTTTGCTTTATTTTTGGGCTATTTTATACGATTATTTATGTAAATGCTTATTTTGTTGTTGTCCCTGTTGTTGTGGCATTCCACTTCAAAAGTTGTTCTTTTCGCTTTGGCTGTTTGAGTAAATTGAAAGTTAATTAAGGATTTATTACTTTAAGCAACTTCTCAAAAAATTCTCAAGTTTTGTTCCCGTTCGAACAATCTAAAAGAAGCATCGAAATGTTCTGTTCTGAACTGGCTGATGCAAAGTAGTTCCATTTCTTGTGATTCGATTTGTGAACCTGTTTTCCATGTTGCCCGTTCTACTGAAAATATCGCAAACTTTCGATATTTTCATACAGAAAATGCGGGCTAAAGCTGAAACTTACCCACAAAATTGGCATCTAATCAAATTGCTTAGACACATCCAATTGTTTGGGCCCCCAAGTTTCTTTTTTTTTTTCAAAATTTGGTTCCGCTTCGTTTCCGTACACGTGAACTATTTGAACTAGTTCGGTTCTTTTGGTTTGGATTAAAGTTCTAAATGAACATTATTTGTATTTGCTACAATATTTGGAAATATAATCAAACGGAACTAGTTCTTTTTTAATCTTCGATTCGAGTTGAACAACTCTTTAAACGCATCTCGTATAAACGGAAACGAAAACAATTTGCCAATTTCTATGTCGTGTATTGTGTCCGCAGTAGATTAGGAAAATTGAATAAATTTTAGCTGTTTACGAAATCTACAAGTTGCCCATTTAGTTAAAAATAATTGTCAACTATTTTTGTCTGTATTTTTTAGTGGCAGTTTCTGTGGTTTTGCTTGTGGCATGTCATTTGTGAAACTTGCCACACACACACACACACACACGCACACACACACACGCACACACACATATGCCATGCGAAAGGAATCGGAAAAAGCATTTTGTCTACACACGCAATTATCTGCACTTTAAAATGTACATTGCTTAATGGATTGTTCTCTATTTTATATGCCTGTTTATGCGAATGTGTGTGTGTGTGTCTGTTTATGTTTGTTTTGTTTATCAACACATGCAAAGTGTAGAGTGCAAACATAACCTCACTTAGGCTCGGCAATGCAATGCCTGCCCGCAAATGCCAGCCAGAGAGTGGAAGAGGGACAGAGCACAGGAAGTGTATGCATAAAAAGAGCGTAAAGCAGCAAGCGAACGAGAGAGAGAGACAGAGAGAGAGAGAAGATGAGTGGTGGCTAGAAAGAACGGACGCACACACACACACACACACACAGAAGGAGCCACTAAAAGTCTTAAGTAAAACTTAGCAAAATGTTAATTAAATTCCAACAACGAATCAAGTAATTTACAACGACTAAGTCGAAAACCCCAAAGCCCCCCCCCGACCCGTACGAACGAGCCAAGCCATTTTATTCCATAACATTTCATGGCCTCTCACCTACACTAACACACACACACACGAAGGCAGGCAGAGAAGCACACTCTTGGGCCGTGACAGTAAAATACGGGATATGCTTAAAGCTAACTGTATTTTCGTGTACGGCAAATGCCTCTAATTCAGCCAACCCCCCCCCCCCCCCCCTACCCCCTCGAGCAGCGCTTTTATCCCCTTGGCTGCCTTTACTGATTGTCCTCGTTGTCCCGCTCCCCACAAAACAAGCAAACGCCAAAGAATGCGGCGAGTGAAATAGCAAAAGATAGAGTGCAAAAGAGACTTGCACATGAGTGAGAAAAAAAAGAAGTAAATAGCTAAGAGAGTGATATATGATCAGGTATGTACATATGTATGTATGCACATACATATGTATGTGTTATAAAGAGAGCGCAGCGCAAGGGAAGAGTAGAAGCATGCCGAGCACAAGCACAAGAGAACGAAGTGAAGATGCAAGACGAGAAGCTAGCTGGGTTATGCTAGAGCATAGAAGAAGAGAGAACGAAGTAATCGCAACAAGAAATATGTATGCATGTTATCTGAGCGAGGGCATAGTCAAAACGAAGCGGTAAAGTGAGAAGAAGAAGAGCGCTATGTGAAAAGAAACTGTAATACTATGAGTACGTACGAACAGAGCTCGACAGATAAAAATGATGTAAGTTAAATTATCTACTAGATTTAATATTAAGAAAATGTGTCGAAGCACGATTCGAAACGAAACCGAATCCGAGTAAGTAGAGTATCAAGTGCGTGGCTATTGTGACTAAATTCGAGCTGCTGCTAAAAAAAAAAAAAAATAAGCGCTGCACAGGCCTGTCTCTCATCAGTCTGTGTGCGTGTGTGTGTGTGCGCGTGTGTGTGTGTGTGTGTGTGTGTACGTGCGAAATGAGTGCAGAAAGTCGCCTCAAGTGATGCGCGCGCTCGCTGCACGGCTTTGGCGGCAAATGCAGGCAGCTAACCGCACTCTGCCTGTACCCTACGCTTGCCCCGCACCCGGCCCCTCGCCCGCATCGCCGCCATTTACAGTTGGTTCGGACTGCGTCCAGTTTTGAGAGCAAACTTGAAAAACAAAAACGATTTTACGCCCGCGGCGGCAGCTGCCGAGACATTTTTTTTTTTGTTCTTTCATATTTTTTTGTATTTTCTATTTTTTTTCTTCTATTTTATTTTTTCGTTTTTTTTTGTTTTTTTTTTTTTTGTTTTGTTTGTGTTGTCGCTAATGACGCAGCGGCGGCGGCAACCAATGTTGACTAGCCCTAAAGCGAAAATTGAAAATAATAAAATAAAATGAAAAAAAAAAGGGCAGAAAATAAAAAACCGAAAAAAAATGGCGCTGCGTCGACGTCGCCGCCTGTTGAGAGAGACGCGCAGTATTCTTTGGCGTATGCTCGAGGGGCTGGTGGAGCGTGGCTGTAGGGGGGGGGCGTGACCGAAGTAGGCTAAGAAGCAGCGCCAGCAGGAAGAACGTAATTGCTGCGTCTGTGTGTGCGTGTGCGTGTGTGTGTGTGTGTGTGGGGCTATCTCTCTCTCTCTTTCTCTCTCTCTCTCTTTCTCTCTCTCTGTGTGTGTGTGTGTTTTTGGCCAAGTTAACAACACAATTTGGCCGCAAATAAAATACAAGTTAGTTAATCCCACAACGTGTTGAATTTAATCAGTGGCCAATTTTTCACTTGCCACCCGCCTGTGCCCCGCTTTCGTTTTCGCTTGTGCTCCACATTTTGCTGCCGCCACGCCCCACGCCCACATCCACTCGCATGCCACATGCCGCATGTCTTGTCTGACCGCCCGTCGATTTTTGTGCTCGTTGAGATACCCCTTGCCCACCGTAAATGGGCACAAAGCGGGTATTTCAGTTTGTGGCAATTGTA